AAAGACAAAAGAAAATAATGTAAAATTCCTCATTATCATTTGTTTTTAAATGCATTCAGCACATGCAAAGTTCGATGTTTGAAACGGACGTAAAAGTTTTAGTACAAAGTATTTCTTTTATTCAAAGACATTAAAGGATTAATTATTGTATCTTTGAAAGGTGACATGAACCTGAAGAGCCAATCGAAATGAAAATTGTTTATCATTATTTAAAGTAAAGTAAAGTAAGTAAATGGACTCCGTCGTTTTCGACGTATGAGGGTTCCACACACAAAGTGGAACATCCTGGTCACTGAAATTATAGTGAAGGCAGCTGATCAGACTACAATCACTCCGTACCCTTCACGCAACTACAACGCTGATATCAGCGTGACACAGGGTGACAAGGCTGCAACATTGCAGATGCAGATACAGTCCATCGAGGACATAGTTTCCTCTACCAAATTTCCCTCACATGGCTTTGGTCAACCCGGGCTAGGTTTTCAGACACATTGCCAGATGTGCCACGAGCCGGGATTGAACCCGCGCCGTCTGGCTTAAAGCTCACGCAATTAACCATTCAGCCACCCGCCCCGTCTTATTTAGAACAAGGCCAAATCATTATTTAGAACATGGCCAAAGCCACTCGGCCAATCAGCATCCTGTAGTTTGATGTTCTATATCTCATTGTGCCTACAAATCATGAATTGGTATGAGCTTCTTTAAGGCTCTAAGAAAATGCACAGATGGAGGGAAAACGGATTACAACAGCTCATTAGTATTCTTTAAATCTCATTAGTATTCCCTATATAGAAAATACTAATTTGGATATTGTTTTCTGTTTTCCATTTCTTTATAAGTATTCTCTAAATAGAAAATACTAATGACTGTAGTAACCCTAAAGTGCATATTCGAATATCTAACAAACAGATAAAATCTAAGACGTTTATAACATATTATTGTGAAGTAAACAGATTCATATTGCTCACAAATTTAAAAAGAAAATAACTCTTACAAACAAATCAGAAAAATTTAATATTGCACTCAAAATTAATAACGAACACATAAACTCTATCACTTAAAATAAAACGACATACGTGTTTCTCCATGTCCAAAACCAAAAAAGTCTTTGTCTCTTGTGCATTTACAGTGCTGCAACATTATTGTTTCTCCTCGTCTACCTTCGCTTTCTTTGGACTTGAAACGTCGACTGCAGAAGGTGGTTGAAGTGCATTTGCAATCTGACATTCTAACAAGTCCAACTCACTAAGTTCACTCATGTCTTTAAGTGCACAGATTAAAATATATGACGTTACAACTACTGCGTAAGGATACTATATCTTTTTATTTTTGAAATTTAATTATTTTTCTTACAATGAAACAATAATTACTGACTGATAATCACCTAATTGAAAATGAGGCATCTTAAGCCCCGTCCACACGTATCCGGATTCGTTCGTATCCGCAAATATTTTGTTGCGGTTACGCTTATCGTCCACACGTATCCAGGGAAAACGCCAATCTTTCAAAATGCGTGAATTATAATCTTTTTGAAAATCTTTTGTAATCTTTGAAAACGCCAGTGCCTTTTTTAAAGAATTTTCACTTGGTGGGCAAAACAGGAAAAATGGCACAACAAAAAATTTGGCCTTGAGGTTTAGCAAATGACAAAATTCTAAAGAGACATTTTGTAAAACTTTATTTTTTAACTTCAGCTTTGCTTCCGTATATCCGTAGATTTAGGAAGCACAAAAAAATAACTTGTCAACTTTTGGAACTTAATTTTGCTTTTATTACTTTTATCAGAAACATTCTTTCTCTTCTCTCCAGTTTGTATAGTCTCAATAATATGGCTTTCTATATTCATAGACATAGCCAAAGTTTGCAGGACATATTCAATCACCAATCCTACACCAAAATTCGAATAACCAGGACTTGCCACAAAAGCGTCGCGATAAAATATCGTTATCAACTTATCAATAAACTGTCGGACAAAAACGTTAGGCTAGAATTCTATTGGATTATTTGCATGAAATCAATCGCCAAATTTATTGTTTTAAAATTGAATAACATTATGAATAACTTACAAGATAGTAGATGGCTGTGATGAAAGCTATGAAAGGGCATAATCTCATTTTCAAATAAATCAAGAGCATATCTGACAGCAATTATGAGCAATACTGTCTTGAACTTCGGGAGCCGAAATGGAGTTACTTAGGGGGGGGCAAATCCTTTCTCTGGGGAAAAATTGCCCCCCCCCCAAGATCTAAAGTTATAAAAGGCACTGGAAAACGCATACTTTAACCGCAAACTTTTAAAAACAGTGTCCAGAGTGGAAACTTTTAAAAACGGATCGAATCTGAACACGTTTAGACGCACTGTAACCAGAATGATTTAAAACGCTGACCAATCCACATTTATCATGCATTCTCCTATGGATTAAAATGGTGCCTAAAGTGATTTTTTCTATTTTAAATGCGCTGTTTTTGAGCATTGTTGCGTTTATGCAATTTACTATTGCCGTCTTAAATTATGAAAAGAATTATTGAAAGAGAGCGAGCAATTTTTATATGGCTCCTTTCAATCCCTGAAATGTGTCCTTAAACATTTTCGCTATTTTATATTCTAAAACGACACCTAATAAAAGGTTCACTTTATCATCTGTCCAGCTTCATTCTTACCTTTGATGACCTTGAAGCAGTAGTTTATGTCGGATAATTTAACATTTTATAGCCAGCTCATTATTCGTATAAGCGCATGCTCTGTAAGCAATAGTTGGGTATTTGTATCGTTTTCGCAGCTACGTGTGGACACACAAAAACGAATCAAATTTGCATACATGTGGACGCGTAAAGTTTTGAATCCAGAACAAAATGTTTGCGGTTACAAATGAATCCGGATACGTGTAGACAGGGCCTTAAATTCACTACCATAAATAATCCCTCGTGGCTTTGGCTATGTTCATGGTGATTCATGGCAAAAAATGTTCATTTGTAGTTTGGATTCTTTGTGGATGTCAGTTGTTTGTTCATATAATGATGATGGGCCACATTGTTATATGAGCCCACCTAAAGGTGATCAGCTGACATTCCTAGGAGATCAAATCTCCACTAAACATTCTTTAAGTGATGATATAACTGGGGTATTGAAGTGATCCCTTTTCCTTCACTTGAAGTTACCATAAGAGTGCATTTTAAACAGTAATCTATCGGATTGGTGATTCATAATACCAGTAGCCCCTTTATTGGTTACGTCGATTACTTTGTGTATGGAATGGTACGAACATATTGAATGGACATTGCATAACGGCATATGTACGTATGAACATTAACATTGAAATGATTGGACTATAATCTATGAAGATGGAAAACAAGCGAGTGGAAAAACATTATCTATGTCTTGTGGTTTGTAAGTTGAGTAGATAAGTATTAAAATTAACTTATAGCTATGAGTAACTGCATGACATATTCAAAAAGGATCCTGATGGTCTATTTTTATAATTTGAGCTATAACCATGAAAAACACCCATATTAGTTAAAAAAAGTCAATAAAAGATGTCAATTGCTGTGAGAAAATAGCTGGCTTTCACTCGCTATTTTTTATTATTTTTATTAAACGTTTATAAACATAATTGCAATGCTGCAACTAGGGTTCATTGAATTTTTAAAAAAAAAATGTTACGATATACACGTTACGATATACACATCAAAACTGCGCTGTGGAAAAAGTGAAAGAGACCTACTAAGACTCCTGGATAAGACGGACCAGGGCAATGCTTGAAAATCAGGTATTAATGTTTTGTTCTTTTCAAAATACATAATTTCTGATTTTATTCATTCATTATGCTGACATTTATAATGTGTTTTTTTATAGATTAGCAATTTCTGTAGGTGTAATAACTAGACATTGAATGAACGATCACGTTGGACCGAAGCACGAAGAAAAAAGCGTCCTTATTGAAAGATTTCCACTTGCGACTTTCGTTATACATACTATTAATCAGTATAACGCATTTTTAAATTCAACTATGAAAAATTTCCGTAAAACTAAATTCTCACAAATGTCAAATTTTCGGACAAAACACACGAGTGGAAAGCCAGCTATTAATGAAGGTCTTAATGAAGCAACATAGAAATTTTGATCAAATGAAATCTAGTAGACATCAAAAATAATTTGTATGCAAGTCACGACGTCACTTTGGTCATTTCATTTTTCATTGTTATTGGTAGGTGAATGATCAGGTCGAACGTACTGAATGAACTTTTCATATGAACTAATCCGGTGTTAATGTTAGACAGTACATCATTGCCCTTCAGTGAAAGCATCCCGCTTTCCACTGGAAAAGAATAATCATAATGGCATATATTTTGAAAAAAAATATGTCCACAAGTTTTCTGCTCAGTCAGATCTTCTAAGACATATTTTTTTTTTCTTCTGCATCAACCGACTCAGTGAGAAAATAAAGATGATTTGGAATACCTGATACAGTATGGTAGAGTGATTTTGCGTATTTAGTGTGATTTGCAATTTAGTATTTGCACCAAAATTTGTTTTCAGTAAATATTTAATTATGTATTTCCAAACTAGTGTGAAATAATATATTTCCTGCGCAGCTGTGACGATGTTAGCAAGTCACGTTCCATGTATTATTAGCTAGACTTTGACCAGTGGCTGTGAGTAGTGTGACAATCCTCAGCCTTTCATGAAGATCTCAAATTGTTTATCAACTGGATAGGAGATTAATTCTTCGAATAATAGTTATCCAACTTTTTGCATTCGGTCCTTGATGAATTGTGAAATTGTGACTAGTAGAAATGTAAAATTATTGCAAAAGACAAGCTGTTAGCAATTTAGTATTTCCACCAAAAATAGTTTTCAGTGAAAATTTTGATGATGGCATTTCTAAATTTTTGTGAAATCTTATTTATGACGCAAATGTGACGATGTTAGCAAGTCACGTGCCAAGTATTATTAGCAAGAGACTTTGAACAGTGACTGTGGGGAATGTAACAATCCCTTTCTTTTGATGAAGATGTGGAAAATTTGATCAAGTGAAAAAGAGATTTATCTTATTCATAAGAGTGATTCGCTATTCGTGCAACCGGCCCCTGGTGACTTGTCCAATTGTTTACATTAATATATAAGATCGTATTTAAGTAAGAATTTATCGTATGAAGCTCAGTTGATATTCATGTGAATTTTGGAAAGATTATACAATATTTTATTCATACATGTGTTGAATTCCATCGGAGAGAACACGATTCGCCAATCCCAAAACACCCAGAACCAGAACGACAACAATTCCCGTTAAAACAACAAATTCCATTCAACCAAGGACAACAACGGTATGTTCAAACTCGATCTCAAAACTATGAACTGGACAACACTTTGTACCGGATGGACACCATTGTGGCACTCCATGAATTTTTTCACAAATTACACGATTTACATTCTAGAAGAAATTTGATTAATGATTTGAGTACATTATTTAAGTCATTTTTGATATAATGACACTTCTTACATTAATAAATATTTCTATTTAGAACTAAGAATAGTCAAAAAGAACATTTTTACTCTTATTGATATTCCAATAATTAAAAATGGTGTGTTCGATAATAAAGTCTCGTGTTTTCCAAATGTTTTGAGCACATTATTTAAGACGTTTTACAATTACGCGTGGCATATTTTACATTTAAAATAATATACTTTAAGATGTTCTCAACTGTGATTGGTAGGTTTCTGTGCGTTTTTTGGTAATTACCAATTTACCATGTGAAACTGTATAATTGCACTGTAATGCAACGAAAGCTGTCTTTAAGAGAACATTTAAAAAACTCTCTCGTATTCGTGTTTATCTGTACTTGCTCTAAAAATTACACTATTGCCTTCACTGATTATTTCTATTTCAAACTAAAAAATGTTAGAACTGTCTATATTTTTACTTCTACTAACATTGCAATAGTTAAAAAATGATTGCTCAACTTTAAAACTTCTCCTTTCTTAAAATGTGTGTCCGAGAAGATGATTTAAAGGTTTGATTCCGACTTACAAGCTCAATATTAGTAATAAATATAACAATGTTCAAAATAACTAGAAACAAAGGCGTACGGAGGCTTCAATCTCTGGCTAGAGGTGTGTTGTGTACTTACCCAAAATGTTACGTATTTAAGTACTAATTTATGTAGAAATTTATAGTCACATTGTTACGTATTTAAGTACTAGTTTATGTAGAAATATATAGACACATGACAATTGGTCAATTATTGTTACATTCTTTCAAGTCCGTATAAATACATATTTTAAAGTGTTGTAATTGCTAGTTGCAAGCACCAAAGACACACGATTGAGAAAATCCAAGGAGTCTAGGTTTGCTCCCTGGGGCAACTTTAATCTTCTGAAAATCATCACTCACTGCATTTTGAGGACAGTTTTTAGTAAAACAAGAAAATCAAATGAAAAAGCAGTGAAAAAAATCGATAAAAGTCTTTTTGTACCAAATGAAAATACAAAGCCAACGGCCTTCCAAATCTCTATAATTTCCCTGCCCAAAAACAACTATTTTAAGGGGAGTGCCACATATCCTCCCTAGCAGTCCCACAATCCATAAGCCTTTGAGCCCATATTATATTACACAGACAGGTTAAGGTCTGTATTTAACATCTTTATTTCTGAATGATATGTTGTTTGCAGTAGAATATCAAATGTTTTCTGGGCTGGATCAAGGAAAGGGTGTTGTGGGTGGTGGCCACGTGATGAGTGGTTTTGAGGGCCCCGCGCAAAGTAAATATTTTTAATGGTACTATTGTCTTTGTGTGGCAAGAGTAAAGCAAAAACTGCAATACGGAAGAAAGGATTTTAGTTTTTTTTTATAAAACTTCATATTACAGAGAAAATTTGGAGTACCTCTATTAGATATCAAATGGGCATTTTATTACAAACTATGAATGGGATCAAATTTTATGGAAGTAAAAGACATCGTAAGAAACGTTGGGCTCATCATTGTAAGAAAATCATTGTTGAAAAAAACAACTTTTGTATATAACGCTTTAGCGGAAACATTCTTGATAAATATTACAACTTTTATTGTAGCTATTTTTCTTCTAAAACAAAAAATTTTTCAATTTTTAAGACTTTTTGTGGATAAAGGATGTCAGTTAGGGGGGAGAGATAGTTTTTGATCCGCCTGGAGCCCACAAAAACTTGATCCGAACCCAAACGTTTGTCTACTTTTCATTGATTTCTTATAATTTGTTTATGATTATATAAAAAAAAGACGTAGCTAGTAAAATATAAAGGTTCAGCTCTCTGACGCTGATTATCAAAGCGCGTTTAATTTTTGTTATAAGTTGCGTTTTTGTTTGGAAATCAGAATTATTAAGTTATTGCAGCAAAGCCAAAAAAGCAGAACATCAAATTCATAAATAGTTTTTGTGATCGACTGAGAAAATTTCTCTTGCTCGATAGAATAATTTTGATTGCTTTCATGTGACTCACGTTGGTTAATTCATGGTTATGGACTTTGCCCCACTCCTTATTATTAATTGTTTATGTTTGATAAATATTAAGACGACCAACCTCTTTGTAGGTCTTTTCCAATAATGATTTCGTCGGTCTTTCCTTCATTTGCTTGTATCGCTCCATTTTGACCAAATCAATAAAAACCAGTAAACACAACAGTATGTAAGCTCTTTTCATAGCTAAAACAAAATGATCAAATGTATTTCTTTTTTTACATATTACATTTTGTAGCAACAATGTTGAAATTACCTTTTCTTGTACTTCTTTTTGTAACAAGTAAAAATGCAACAAAATAAATTAGCAATAATTCTGTCTACTTATATCGACCTACTTTGAAGCTGTGGTGACTTGTGCAATGAAGTGTTTATTGTGAGATCGTATTTAAGTAAGAATTGATCACATGAAAATCAAACGATATTCGTGTGAATGTTGGTTCAATTAATATTTTTATGTTTTTGTATCTTAGTCATCCATGATGATTTCTTGTGATGATGTTGTAATCTCATGATATGGTATGATTACATGACTGGAACAATGTCATATAGTAAAGTAAAAATAGCTTTGTAAATTTTGTAAATAGATTTACCACACCGTGTACTTGCGACAGAAACGCTTGTCTTTTTCACATTATTGTTAATGAATAAAAGAAATAAAAGATGTTTTCGTGTTTGCACTGCCTTATGCAAACCTTGGAGAGGTTTGTGAGAACCTCGAGCACGTGCAACCCTTGACCTTTGGTCTCGGGCTTGCACTGATCATCTCTTATGTTCTCCCAAAGGTCTCCTCGGTTTGCATAATCCTGTGCAAACACAGTAAACATCTTTTATTTCTTAATTGAAACATTGAAAAGTTTTTTAACAACGTGCAATGCACGAGATAGTTTGTAAATGTTTGTTTTGACGTCAAACTCAAACTAAGATTTTACGGATAATAATGTAGCACAGTTCTCATGCTTTGGATCAAATTTTTTAAAAAGAATTACATAATATATAATATAAATATATTTATTTTTTCAAGTGTTTTTATCAGAAATCACCCGTAACTTATTTACTAAATGTATGGAATTAAAGTGCTTTTACATGCTTAAACTGCGAAAATTGTCGGTGTTAAAAATAACCAGGAATTTTTATTATAGCTGTGTGCCGTCGTTTTTTTATATATTCACCCTTCCATGAGCGAAACTAGAACGTTTATTTGGGGGTATATATTCATATGTTCAGCTCTGCCCTGCTGATTTCTTTTGTTTGCGATGTTAATTTCAACAGAAGTCAGCAGGGCAGAGCTGAATATATGAATATTTACCCCCCTCAATTACGTTCTAGTTTTGCTCTGACGCTATTAGTATGTTATTTGAGAACTTAAATGTCGTTGTTAAGAAATTTTCGTAAAACAAGAAAATTGATTTTATTTTATGCCTTACTACAATACAACATATCTGCATGCACTTTATCATTTAAATAAAGCAAACATGTTGGAATATTTAGACAAAAAATACATTTAATTGAGTAATTGTATATCGTTTATGATTAAGTTGAAAACTGCAAAAACCATTCATTTTATTGTGAATTTGCATTCTGAAATGAATGACTGAAGTATATAACCTACGATGTTCACTTTTGATTTTATTTTAATATCTTGTGTTATGTTTACATACTACGAGTCTGTGGCTTAAAGCAAGATCAATCAATGGCTTAGTCATCCTACTAGTTATGGTATTGCATAATGTATTGTGAATTTCAGACGATTTTTCTTGTTTAAAAAATCACTTCTTTTAACACTCGCAGCGAGTGCACATAGAAAACGGACAAACCATGAGTCTGATTCTGATGGCCAGAATGAGTTGGGCTGTCAATTCTCAATTCTCATCGTCAAAATGTTGTCAAAATAAAGACGACCACAACATTAGTTATTCAGAATTTTAAAGTTTTGGTTTTTCTCGACCCAATCCTCCACCATTCACAGTTGCTCCGCATACTTTCTTATAGTCACGTGATTAAATGGAATGAAACATGGAAAGATGGCGGAATTCCAGTGGAATAGTAATTCATAGAGATGCCTTAGTAAGGTTTTATTTTCATTCCTTTTGAACTTTTAAATCATTCAGTCATGCAGAAGAACGTGAAAACAAAGAACGTGTTCCTATCTGGTGCTTTACAAAGAATTCTACTCGATAAAGAAACAAAAAAGTCTCATCATTCACAACTAAAGAAAGCTTGCGAAACGGCTTTAGGTATAAATCCATAAGTAATGATTGTAGTTATTGCTGATGTATTTGGATTCTATTTGCTCTATGTTTTTATGCATTTTCAACCAGTTTCTGCATTTGCTATCAACAAAACATTAAGTGTAGTAATCCCTCATTCAGGATGTCAACGAACGCTGTCGATAGTATCTTTAAAATTGCTCAATGTATGATTTGTACTTTTTTATACGTGGCAAACAGTTATTTTTAGTGTCAATCGCTGGTTCATATTCTTCTTGAGTTATATGTTTATATTTTTATGGAGAAATGTATGTCAACGTGTGCAATGAATATAATGCAATGAATATAATGCGTTGTGTGCAATGAATATAATGCGTTGAGTTATATGTGTATATTTTTACTGCTGTGTTCAGGAATGTTGCTTTACAAAATGATCGCTTTATGATTTTGATCTATTCTAGAGGAAATAAACGCTGTTCAAGGAAATGAAAAATCTACAGGGTAAGTTTAATTATGTAAAGTTGTCCAATTTTCTTTCCAATTTTCCAATTTTAACATGACCAAAATGAGTTATTAACCTTGAATCTTAATTCATTCACAGTTATATCCAGACTACGCATGCGCACAGATTTGCTAAGTTTTATTGTTCAAAAGTTAGATTTATAAACCAGAATGTTGGTTTGATTTATTTATAATAAAATCTTCAGGAATGTTTCTTCTGCAACTCTACCTCCACTACCTGGTCAGCAAACATTCATTACAGCAGATCAATATTTTCTTCCTTTTGAGTTGGCTTGTCAAACAAAATGTGCCAGGATTGTCACCATTGCACTTGACTGTATACAAGTAAGTTGTTTTTTTTTGATGTGTTAGGACACTTGGAGTCTTTAGTTGTAAGAAATAGATTTAATATTGTAAACTCTTTCATTGCATTGTTATTAAGTTATTGCAATTTGGTAGCACAAAATAAGTTCCTGCGGTATTTTTTTTTGTTAGTTACCTCCTAAATTTCTCCTAGAAATTGTCAATATTGCTATCCTTATGTATCAACAGTACTCATCCCCAAGCCTCACAACTTCACATGTGTCTTTTCACCACCATTTTGTATTCCTTCACAAATCTAGGTCTTGTATTTTGCTTCTATAAATTGGAGTATTTCAAACATTCTTTTTTCTTAGAAACTCATTGCTTATGGTCATATTGTTGGCGATACACCAGACTCCATTGAACCAGAGAGGCGTTTAATTGACAGAATTATCGAGACTATTTGTACTTGCTTTACCGGTATAAATACTGATGTAAATGTTCAAATACAAATTATAAAGGTATTTATAAAAAGTAATGTCAAACTGTTAAAGTATTTAATGAGAGAAATGATATATCCTTGAGGAATTTAAAGAGGGTAATGACATATGTATCCCTATGTTTTTTACATTTTTTGTACCATGAGTTTTTTAAATATCACATTGAATAATTGGATTCCAACAAGATTTAAAAGTCTATGTGTTAACTGTGGACAGTTGAAAATGATCTTATTTTTATAATGTGTATATTTTTATTATCTATATTTACAGGCTCTTCTAACAGCTGTTACATCAAGTACTTGTGAAGTTCATGAAGGAACTTTACTTCAAGCAGTTAGAACAGTTTACAACATTTACCTTGCCAGTAAAAGTCTTGTTAGTCAAACAACAGCAAAGGCAACACTGACGCAAATGATAAGTCTTGTGTTTCAGAGAATGGAAAGTCAAGCTGTAAGTTTTGTTCTGATGAACATAATATTTTTGTATCATATTGTACATCAATAGACATGTCAATGTTGATAATATTGTATCATATTGTACATCAATAGACATGTCAATGTTGATAATATTGTATCATATTGTACATCAATAGACATGTCAATGTTGATAATATTGTATCATATTGTACATCAATAGACATGTCAATGTTGATAATATTGTATCATATTGTACATCAATAGACATGTCAATGTTGATAATATTGTATCATATTGTACAACAAAAGACATGTCAATGTTGATAATATTGTAACATATTGTACATCAATAGACATGTCAATGTTGATAATATTGTACCATATTGTACGTCAATAGACATGTCAATGTTTATCATATTGTACATCAATAGACATGTCAATGTTGATAATATTGTATCATATTGTACATCAATAGACATGTCAATGTTGTATCATATTGTACATCAATAGACATGTCAATGTTGTATATCATATTGTACATCAATAGACATGTCAATGTTGATAATATTGTATCATATTGTACATCAATAGACATGTCAATGTTGATAATATTGTATCATATTGTACATCAATAGACATGTCAATGTTGATAATATTGTATCATATTGTACATCAATAGACATGTCAATGTTGATAATATTGTATCATATTGTACATCAATAGACATGTCAATGTTGATAGTATTGCATCATTTTGTATATCAATAGACTGAAAATGGAAATGAAGAAAAGGATGATAGCGATAATTTTAAATCAGAAGAAATCAGCAAAAAGGAGGAGAAAACTGACATCAATCCTTTACCAAATGGTAAAATCCATCATGGCGACGATAAAATTGAAGATGTGAATGGTAAGGAAGCATTTCTACTTGTTTTTGGAAGTTTGCCCCTCCCCCCTGAAATTTTATGACAAGATAATCAACCCCCTGTGCAAAAAACTGTTTACATATTTGTTTTGTTTTCAAAAACTCGCTTTACAGACGATATTGCTGACCAATCCTTATTTTTCAATATTCTTCGATGGCTTTCATTTACAGATAGCGTTCCTTCCACAGAGGTTAAAGATAAGGATGTTATTGATACAGTTATCATGAATGAAGAATCAATGGTTGAAGAGAAGAGTGTAAAAGATGTTGTTGATGGTGTCAGTGATGCTGTGAACGATGACACAAAACAAGATTTAGTCGAAACAACTGTTGACACTAATGTCTCGGAGTCTGTTAGTAAAGAACAGCATTTGAATGACTCAGACGAGTTAAACAATGCTGCTGTAGATGACTTGCCTTCTAAGACTTCTGCAAATGGCAATACAAAAGACAATATAGATGAAGAAAGTGAAGAATCAGCGAAGATTGCCAACGATAAACATCTCGATGGAAGTTCAAATGTTAATGACGAGTCCGTTAATGGCGATTCCCCAAGTGTGGGCCAGGTACAAGATGTTAGTGATCCATCTGAATCCAACGTAATCCCACCAAATAGCGTTGATGTTGATTCAGAAGCAACGAGAAATGACTCGACAACTAGCGAAGTTTCAGAGCCCAAGGAGGATGATGGGAATGAAACTGCACGAAGTTCCGTCTCCGAGTCTCAGTCTGATATGCCCAGCGAGACGTCAAGTGAAGGCAAGCCACCTCAACAAAGATTTTCTCATATCACCCAGAAGGATGCATTCTTAGTGTTTAGGTCATTGTGTAAACTATCGATGAAACTGCTTGCGGAAGGACCGTTGGATCCCAAGTAAGTTAGCTACAGTTTTTTTTAGATGTATCTTGATAATGTGTAAAACTCTCATTGATCATAAGTCACTTCAAAAAAGTGGTTTGATCTAATTTATATTGTACTATCAGTTCATTTCATCATGAATATTTTTACTACAGAAACTTCGACTTATTTTTGATTCTAAGATACATGTATCAAACTGTGCGTTTATATCTTCTTTATCCAATATTACTTCAGAAGGATACCTAAATCAAACAAACTTTATTTATACTATAGATATCTATAACTAAGATCATAACTGTTCTTAAAGATCATGCAGTAAAGGTCATCTCTTATTGATATAACTTTATGTACTACATGAAGAAATTGAACTCAACTAAATTGACCTGACATATACAAGATAGCTCTATCAGTACTTTTTTAAAGTATGATTTTAGCATTAGCTTTTAAGATTTACTCGCGATAAAAAACCTTTCATTATTTTCAGATCGCATGAGCTCAGATCTAAAATTCTCTCACTGGAGTTGCTGTTAACTTGTCTACAAAGTGCCGGACCTGTTTTCCGTACTCATCCAATGTTTATCAACGCTATAAAACAATATTTATGCGTCGCATTATCAAAGAATGGCGTCTCATCTGTTCCTGCTGTGTTTGAACTATCGTTGGCAATCTTTCTCACACTTTTGTCATACTTCAAGACACATTTGAAAATGCAGATTGAGGTGAGTTTTAGGAATTAAACTTTCACGTGACATTTTAGATTCTGTCGAAACTATGATTTAGATCAATCATGAATCCGATATTATAGTGTAAACTTTCCGTGAAATGTTAATTGTTTCGTTTCTTTGATAATTTCGTTTGCTGCTGCAATAAGAGCTTATATTTTGAACATTTCAAAACTTTTCACTTTTTTGCTATAATTTCCGTGTCGTAACCAGACGGCTTAGGTTAGTACTTTATGTTATATTGTATAATTTTGACCAGGTGTTCTTCAAAGATATTTTCTTAAACATTTTGGAAACGTCGACAAGTTCTTTTCAACATAAATGGATGGTGATGGGGACGTTAACTAGAATATGTTCAGGTAATTTCATCATTGTCATGTAAGTGTGTGTACATCACTTCAGTTCATCGTCAATTTTTTCATGTATTCCTTCTTATCCATTTACTCGCCAATCTTTCAATCCATTCGTTACAATCATCCATTGAATACCTTGCGTTTGTACCTCAATTCATCTTAGGTGTACACCTGTACATTTGGTCTATGCAATCTCGTTCATCTGCACTTTTATCCATTTACTAACAATAATATAACGCGTGAAATGATTGTTCTGTAGCTTTGTTTGCATTAGCCTGTACAAACGTGCGTATCTGAGCTACATCAATTATATCAATCAAAGATAATTTGTAAATAATCATGAATACATGTTAGAGAAAAATTTTAAACTTTTTTCTTGAAGTTGTCTGTTTCGCATTACTATTGTGTACAAAAGAACTAAATGATGTTTTTTGGGTTTGTACTGGCTTATGCAAACCTTGAGACTTTTGTGTGAACTCTCTAGCTGGTGCAAACCGTCAACTTTCGGTGTAAAGCTTGCACTGACATTGTCTCCAGTTCTACCAAATGTCTCTTCCGTTTGCTTAACCCTGTACAACAATTGAGCATCTTTTATTTCCAAATCCCATCCTATATTCAGTCTTCACAATTTCTTCGTGGGTGTGCAAGAGGTGAGGTGTAACCTTTCCCTTACTAATTATCAATATACCAAACAATCAAATTTTTGATTTTATCTTCCTGTCATCCATTAATATCCATTCATATTAGCCATTAATGTCCATTCGTGTCCTCTATTGCAGACGCACAGACGGTCGTTGATATATATTTAAATTACGACTGTGAATTGGCTTTGTCGAATATCTTTCAAAGATTGATCAATGATTTGTCTAAAGTTGCCCAAGGACGTCAAGCTATTGAATTAGGAGCGACACCAGTAAGTTGATGAATATGTTTCATAATGTTTACTTCTCTACATTCTCTTGTTCATATCTATGCCACTTGAAAAGGACTGGAACGTAGTCTATTATTATGAAAAGGACTTGGACATAGTATATCAACATGAAAAAACTGGAGCATAGTCTATCAACATGAAAAGGACTTAAACATGTCTCTAATATTTTGTGCTGAAAATGTTGATTATAATACATCTTTTTATCACGTTTATATGAATAGTATCAATGTCGTCTTATTTTTTTATGATTTTTTCAGGTTCAAGAACGCAGTATTCGTATCAAAGGTCTGGAATGTCTCGTTTCTATTCTTAAATGTATGGTAGAATGGAGCAGGGATCTTTACTTTAAACCTGATTCACAGGTGGACGATAATTTTGGTGAGTTTTAACATCTTTATGAAACTGAAGAAACTCGCATGTAGCGAATATAAACTTAATATTGTTATACATTTCGATAAGTTATCGCTTTATGATCCATTGTACCCTCTTTTGATATCGGCTACACTGACGATTTTGTCTCCATCAAGATTCCATCTTTCTATACTCTGTATCCCTATTTATCGAAGGTACTCCATTATTTTCTTATACACACGTTAATGTTCTTAATCGTAAATAGTTGTTCGACAATTGTAGTTAACCTCTCAGGATCTAAGTTATCCCTTAGTTATCTTTTTTACCCTTGCTGGTCTCGCGGTGGATCAAGGCAATATCTTAATGTTTATAGTTACTCATTATTGACCCATGCTACCCTCAATGTTCTAGTCTATCTCTCAATAAACTATACTATCTTCCCGATGATCTAGGCTATCTTTTAATGATCTATGCTAACCTCTTAATGATCCATGCGATCCCTTATTGATCTCCAAATCATCATAGTTATTGCTCAATACTTCTGTTTAATCTCTTCCATATAAATTTCCTGACAGATCTGGTTGATGGTGCACCAACAGTTTCTCAAAAAGGAAGCACCGAGGAGAATGAAAACGGAGGGCCGGTGATTTACAATCTCAAAAACGGGGGTAGTCAGTCGTCTCTTAATAGTACAAAAGCCATCGATAATGCTGAAGAATTTGAGAGTCTTAAACAGAAGAAGGAGACGAAAGAAAAGGGAATTCAATTGTAAGTTTGGTCAACAATTTGTTTATCTTCTGTACTTTTATTCAATTTTACGATTTACTTTAAGATTTAACAAGAATCCATCAAAAGGTATAAAATTCCTTCAATCTGAAGGTCTCCTTGGTGAGACAGCAACCGAAGTCGCTCAGTTCTTACACACTGATGATACACTAGACAAGGTGATGATCATTTTAGTCCATTTATATCCCTTGCAATCCTTTTGTTTAATTTCACATGATGTTGTCTTCTTTCACTAAAGTTTTCATTATGTCACATTTTCACGCTATCTTTGAGGAATTTGTAGAAACATTAAATGTTGCTTTGGATTTTAAACTAGTATTGCGTATTATTGTTTTAGACTATGATTGGTGAGCTGATTGGTGATCCAGGACAGTAAGTATGTTTTTACACATCTCCCTCGCGTGACAATCACGTGAAAATCACATTAAGACGTTTGATTCTCGTCTTAAGTATTTATTTCAACATAAATTGAGTCAAGAAAAGTTGATTATGTTAATTTGCCATGAAGCCCATGAATGGTTTGCTCATGATACATGAAATAGTAAATCAGAAAATTTAATCGTAAAATCAAGAATGTTTAAAATATGTTTAAGGTTGCATTAAACTCCATGTAAAAGGACAAAAGCTGTTTGAAACTAAGCATTATCTTCAAATCTCTTGGTTATTTTTGTTCATAAAAAAACAAAACAATTTTTTAAATGCTCAAAATTTCTCTATCATAAATTGAGTCAAGAAAAGTTGATTATGTTAATTTGCCATGAAGCCCATGAATGGTTTGCTCATGATACATGAAATAGTAAATCAGAAAATTTAATCGTAAAATCAAGAATGTTTAAAATATGTTTAAGGTTGCATTAAACTCCATGTAAAAGGACAAAAGCTGTTTGAAACTAAGCATTATCTTCAAATCTCTTGGTTATTTTTGTTCATAAAAAAACAAAACAATTTTTTAAATGCTCAAAATTTCTCTATCCAGTGAATAATATTGACAGAATTCAGTAAGATTTGCTACTGTTCAAAATAAGCAAACAATATGTTTAGTACACTTAGATATATTGTTCGTCATGTCCTCAACTGTTCTTCATATCCTCAACTGTTCATATCCTTAACTGTCCTCGTGTCTTCCTATACTTCTTAGATATGAACGGGAGATAATGTACGCCTATATAGATCAGTTGGATTTCACTGGTACCAATCTTGTGCAAGCTCTGCGATTGTTCTTACATAACTTCCGGCTTCTCGGTGAAGCGCAAAAGATCGATCGACTCGTGGAGAAGTTTGCGAGTAGGTTCTGTGAAACGAAACCAAAGTAAGGACATGATTTGTGTCTTGTTATCTGTTGTTTTACATCTCGCATTGCATGCTGGTTCGTGAAACTTACGAAATGACTTTTGTCTATGAACCATGTGTTAATTTTTTTTTCATTTAACATCAACAATAATTTATGACAGGTTTTTGACGATTTTGGGGTTTTTTTTTTAAGTATTTTGTCATCGAACTTTTATTATTCGAGTTTTGATGGCTGCAATTTGCTGTTAGATAGATGTAAAGTGAGTTCTTTGAACTGGGAATATTGTTACATGTTTGTAGATGTAGATCGTCCAGGATTATAGAGGCCTGAGAAGACTGTTGTTGTTGATGTTGACTGACGTTTCTACAACCTTACTCATGTACAAACATGTCTAGATATAGCTAGGTTAGACTGTCTATGATAAACTTTTATTTTATATTTATCATTTATATTTTAGTGACGATGTGTTTGCTAGTGCAGACGCTGCCTACGTTCTGGCTTATTCTATCATCATGTTGACTACTGATCTACATAGTTCACAGGTTACACAGACTTCATTTGCAATGATTTTCTATAAAAGTGACTTTATGTCTAAGATCACGTGACTCATTGTGGTCACGCGAGATTTCCATGGCATTGATATGAAGCCTTCATTGCAATCACGTGAAAAATTAGCCTTTAGATGCGACATCGTAATGACGTGAAATTTTCTTTCAGGTTAAACGGAAGATAACGAAAGAGCAGTACATTCAAATGAATCGTGGTATAAATGACAGTAAAGATCTTCCATCTGAATATCTTGAAGCAATTTATGATGATATTGCACAGAATGAAATCAAGATGAAACATACACCAAAAGTGAACAGTAGATACGATGCTACATGTATGTATTTGAACATTAATACGAGAATCAAGGCTTAACTAAAAATTGTACAGATGCTAGGTAAAGGTCTTGACTGCGAAGTGTAGAGTCCTAGTTCTGAGATGAAGGTGAAGGTCTTGAGATGGAGGTGTTGGTCTTGAGATGGGTGTAGGAAAGGGGCTTATAATGGATATTGTGATGTTCGGTGTTGGTCTTAAGAGAGCTCCAATGCATTTTCATGAAAGTAAAGAGATTTTTTATTGTGCTTCCACTTTACAGATTTACAAAGTGAGAAACATCGTCGTATGTTGTATTCTATGGAAATGGAGCAGATGGCGGAAAACGCCAAAACACAAATGGAAGACGTGAGTCATATTCAGACGGATTTTGTCACGGCGACACAGATTGGTCACGTGAAGACAATGTTCAAGGTACGGGGGGGATGGAGTCTGGAGAATAATGTTTGTGGTGTATGTAAGGATAGATTAACGAAACGTTAATTGTGATGTCAACTTATACGGACAATGCCAAGTGCGGGGGGCGTAGATTCCAAAATATGATGACATTCATCTTAATCTTGTTAAAGAAAAGACTTAGATTTTATGTAATGAATGTTTGCGATGACTAAGAGTAAATCTGTTTGATAATCTAATATTTTAGCTGACCAATGAATGATTTGACTGGATTTTCTATTGAGAAAATCCACTACTTTAAAGCTGCTTCTTACAACCGGCCCCAGTCCCCATTGTTGACCATTTTGTTTTGTGTGTTTAAGGTTGCATGGAGTCCGTTTCTTGCCGCGTTCAGCGTCAATCTACAAGACAACGACGATCCTTCTGTAGCTTCATTTTGTCTTGATGGAATCCGCTGTGCAATACGAATATCTTGCATATTCAGCATGCCTGTAAGTTGATAAACACACAACATTCTGTTCATTTTATTTTATTTGGGTATAAAATAATGACATTAATGTCTCTGCATACCTTTTCATCCCTGGTGATCTTTTCCGGACATAAATATATATTCAAAAATATGTTGAATGTTGAATTGTTGAATACACGTCGTGTTCTTTGCGTGTTATATGTTCAAGGTTAAGATGATATTCATATGTATACAATAAAAACAGATGTTTGTTTACCTTTGAATTAATTGTCTGTTTGTGTACATATATGGATATATCAGGATGCATGTGAATGTGAAATAATCTTTTCTTAAAAGTTTTTCAATGATTACAGTTAGTTATAATGATGTTAGGGAATATGAATGGAGATTCTTTACCATAAAGTTCATTTTTCGATACTTCTAATAACTCTTTTCACATTGTAGTTGGAAAGAGATGCTTTCGTACAAGCGCTATCCAGGTTCACTTTTCTTACTGCGACCAGTGGCACACATATTCATGAAATGAAAACGAAGAACATCGAGACGATCAAGACACTTCTTACCATCGCTCAAACGGATGGTAATTACATCGGGAAGTCTTGGCTCGAGGTAGAGAGAATCATCTTGCTATATATTATGGTTGGTGTCTGCGACTGAAAATATGATCGATTGTTTTTTTCATCAAAGGAAAAGTCTAGGTCTTGTCTGTAGTGGAAACTTCACGATATTGCTACAGACTTCATTTTCATTTTTCCAAGTGCTTTGTTGACCGTATTCCATACCCTTCATCAGAGAATCGTATCACAAATGTACATCAGTAATAATTATGCATAAGAAAAGGAAGTTTTTTCTCAAGATATTTTTTATTTGAAGATATTTTCCACGTATGTATTTAACGTTTATGTTCGTCTTGTTGGACACTCGTTTTTGTTGTTCAAATGCTTGTTCAGCTTAGCGCATCTTTCTACGTTTCCCTAAAGTCATTGTTTTCATTCTAGATACTGAAATGCATTTCCCAACTTGAATTGGCTCAACTTATCGGTACTGGTGTGAAAACGCGATACCTTCACACGGCGTCCTGCGGTGTTACTAATTCACCCACAGCATTAACCGCAAACAACAAGACATCTTATGATATAACCTCAGGTTGCTTATAACATTGTTGTGACGCTCATAGAAAAATGTCAAATACTAACGTTGGGTGCTTTTCTTTGCTTGTATTTCTATGAAGGTCGGATGCCTGTTGCCGCTGACTCGAAAAAAGCAGCTGGCTCACAGGAAGCCATTGGGGAGACCGCTGCACAAAATGTTGTCGTTGCAGTGGACAGGTAACGTTTACTTTAATGATAGCTATGTGGATTGTGTTTTGTGACCTATCTCCCACCCCAGGGCGAAGCTAGAACGTTAATGCAGGGGGAGAGGTGAATATTCATATATATGGTCATATATTCCGCTGTGACCAACTAATTTCTTTTCAAATTAAATAATGTCAAGCAAAACTAAATATATGAATATTCACCCTCCCATTCAGCCTTCTTCACCCTGCCCTCCCAGGAATCTTTAAAATTGTCTTTAAGCTAGAGTGGGGCTTGTAACAGCAAAAAATATCGATGAATGATTCTCTATGTAGACATGTTCATTTTCCAAGTTAGCAGAGTCCTGAGAATGACTGTTATTGTTATTGTTGACTGACGTTTTGACATCCTTAGCGGTAGTCATCTTCAGGCTCAAGTGAACCAGAGAACCTTGAACATAAACATGAAAATATAATTTTGAAGAACTCGTGCACTGTCCATACGTTATGTTCTCTCAGCAGAATATCTTCATCTCAACTTCTTCATTGTGTTTTATTACGTTTAGAGTTTTCACGGGATCAGTGAAACTGGATGGTGATGCTATCGGTAGGTTTGCATGTATACATTAAACTGCATCTTACATAAGGTTTTTATACATCTAACTTGACCATAATTCACTGACCATCCTTTATCTCAAGTATCCAAATCTCCAATACCCGAAATCTCAAGTATCCAAATCTCCAATACCCGAAATCCCAAGTACCCAAATTTCTAGTACTTAAATCCCCTGTTCCCAAATACCAAGTATCCAAATCCCCAGTTCTCAAATCCCAAGTATCGTTATCTCCTGTATCCAAATCTCAAAATGTTTTCGTTTTTCTCCTAAGTCGATTTCGTGGAAGGTTTACGTCAAGTCTCGGAAGTTGAGCTTTCCAATCCTACAATGATACGTATGTTTAGTCTGCAGAAGATCGTAGAGATTGCTTATTACAATATGGGTCGTATTCGGCTGCAATGGTCACGAATATGGGCTGTGTTGGGAGATCATTTTAACAAGGTTAGCGATTATTAACGACTAAGATTTATCTTGGTATTATGGATAAAAACATCACGTTGTTATGATGTACTCAGGTATAGTAACAAGATAATCGTTGTCTTCAATGCTCTATCAACTAAACTATCAGATCAACTGTGAACTATGATGATATTTTAAAAGACAGCTCTAGTTTCTCTCATATCTCAAGTATAAAAACAAGATAATCAATGGCTTCATCTCCAATGTTCTATCAACTATAGTACTTCTCCATCTTAGATAATTTATGTGCCATTTTAGTGTGGTTGTAACCCTAATGAAGAAGTTGCGTTCTTCTGTGTCGACTCTTTGCGACAATTATCCATGAAATTCTTGGAAAAGGGGGAATTGCCAAATTTCCGATTTCAAAAGGATTTTCTCCGACCCTTTGAATACATAGTGAAGAAAAACAGGTAAGTTTATGCAGGAGTCAATTCTGTCGGAAGTTTCTTGCAGCTTGAAAATCTTTCTTTGAAATAAACAAAATTTGTGGCAGACTTTGCAGATTCTTTACCAAGTTGAAATTTTACGAAGAATTTTACAAAGCAAGTCTTTCAATCAATCGCTCTGTTTTGTCTGTTATAATTCGAAGGATTTGATTAAAATTCTTTCTTCGATATGTTTATGAACTTGGCAACAAGGAATGCAATTTTCAGTCTACGATTTGCTTGCATCAACAACTGGATTTTTCGCATTATAGTTCTTCCACAATTCGTGATATGGTCGTACGATGTGTCACACAAATGGTGCATTCGCAAGCCGCAAACAACAAATCTGGTTGGAAAAATGTTTTCTCCGTTTTTCATTTGGCTGCGTCCGATCATGATGAAGGAATCGTGGAACTCGCTTTTCAAACAACAGGTTTGTAGTTTAATGAAGGAGCTTTTTCTTCTAATCTTACCGCCGACCTGTCTGTTGCGCTCTTTGGTAAGGTCCTTGTATCGGTGCAAATTTTAAAATTTTAAAATAAAAATGGTTGCATTTGTTTGAAGAAATGATGGTGAATCCGCTTCCGATCTTGGACTATTTAGACATCTGTAAAATATTATTAAATTAAATTCAATATGAATTTGAATATCATTTAAGTAAATGTGTTTCTCGGATGTGACAGAGAGCTTCGTTTATTTTCCCACAAGAGTTTTATGTGTTCGTTCTTTTCCATGGTAATTCAGCCATATTTATATAAGTTTTCGAGGTAAACTTTTATTTACCATAAAGTCGATGGATGTTCGCCTCATGATGCATGAATGAAAATTAAACGAGAGTTAATGGAGAAATGAAATAAATGTATAAAGCATTTTTTCGTTGATGCAAATTACGAGTCAAAAGGCAGAGTTTTTTAAACTTTTCTAGCCCTGTTTCTCTACTGTTTCAACGTCACCAGAACAGCATTCTTTCAGCCACGATTTTGAGAAATATTTCTCCGCGACCATCGACTCTTTCCAAGATGCCGTCAAGTGTCTCTCGGAATTCGCATGCAACGCAAGTTTCCCGGACACGAGTATGGAAGCAATAAGACTGATACGAAATTGCGCCAAATTTGTTTCCGAAAATCCTGTGGTACGACGATTGCAAATCTACTTTCTTTTCACCTTTGAAATGATTTAAAATTTTGCAAAATCACATCAAAGCTAACCACTTTGGATCAAATCAAATCCAAATCATCTATTTCAATCGCTTTTCGTGTAGCATTTTCCAATGGCGTCTGTTTTCTTTTCTTTTATAAACAGATGTTTAAAGACTACGGAGTAGAGGATGCTGGGATATCAGAGCAGGACAGAATCTGGGTGAAAGGCTGGTTTCCAGTCCTTTTTGAGCTTTCGTGTATCATCAACCGATGTAAACTAGATGTCAGAACAAGGTATGGTGGAAATATTGAGTTGTATGTACTGTATAGATTAGTATGTATTGTATAATTTGAATGTGAGCTATTTTCCATCCATCAACTAGAGGCCTAACCGTGATGTTTGAAATCATGAAAACATACGGGAACACGTTTCTCCAACATTGGCGGCGTGATGTGTTTAAAGTCGTGTTTCGAATTTTCGACAACATGAAACTACCAGACAGACAGATATATTGGCAGGAGGTTAGAAAACTGTCATTATTGTGCTCTTATTATATGGCAAGCGTAAATTCCGGCTAAATGTCGCGCTTTGATTGGCTCAGAAACATTTTGCCGGTCCATTATTCTCCCGTAATCGACCACGGTTCAAAACGCGTAGTTTATAATATGTCGTTATTGTGGTCTTATTGTCTATGATTGCCATAAACATACATTATATCGCAAAAAGTCAACTTACATACACGACTATCCAGTTCTACATGGAATAATATTCATTTCATGTGTTTACGTCTATCCACCTTCGTTCTTCATTCTCTTATCCATTTCAATTGTGTATCCACTCCATTGAACTAAAATACATAGAACGCTACCTGTAATAGAAAACCGTAGTAATTTTTTGAAGCCATATTTTACACCCAGACACGCGTGTGTAGTGCAATCAATTTTCACTCCGCGAGAGAATCTCGAAAAACTAAACACGCGTGTCTGGGTGTAAGATTTGGCTTCAATTATTTGCTTCATGTAGCGTTCCATGTATTTTAGTTCAATGATCCCCTCATATCTTCCTTTATTTCTTATTCACTTCTATCCACTTTCATTCTAGAGTCACTTCATTCTGTATATCTACTCGTATTTACTTCATTCTCTATCCATTCTTATCCTTTTGCATTCCCTATTCACACACCGATTGCATTTTGTGTAAACGATTTGTACCAGTATGGAAGGTTTGAAACACTCGTTTGTGAAAGTTACCCACCTGTAAAGAATGCTTTTGCGTTTAAATCAGGAATGAGCAATGTTAAACTGCGGGAAGGTCGTTTCCTTTACATAGAATAAAGTCCGTGTATAAGGTGTTGTATTTCCTCGTTATAAAATGAGACATCAGCTGAGGATGTTTTGAAATTTGTGATGTCTCTTTATAGAAATCAGAATGGATGACAACAACTTGTAATCACGCTCTTTATGCTATCATCGATGTTTTTACTCAGTATTTTGATATTCTTGCTGAAATTCTTCTTGATGATATGTATGGTCATCTAGAGTGGTGTGTCAAACAAGGTAAGCTTGAGATTACGCAACGTGTTTGTGCTTGGCATTTGCCTTGGTGATTGGCTCGTTGTGTCAGAGTTTGTGATTGGTTTGAGGTATGAGAGTTTGTGATTGGTTTAAACTATGAGAGTTTGTGATTCGTTTGGTTTGAGGTACATTAGTATACAAGAAGTATCAGAGTTTCTTACAGGTTCGACTGTAAATGCTTTGTATCACCATGTCCTGCTTTGCTCGCTCATTCAATACATGTCTTTAGATAACGAGCAGTTAGCGAGGTCTGGTACCAATTGTTTGGAAAATCTCGTCATATCCAATGGCAACACGAAGAACGTAGACGTCTGGGAAAAGACATGTCAATGTGTAAAGACGATATTTGAATCAACCGTACCTCACGAACTATTGAAATGGAGACCCGCTGACCAACAAGTATTGAGTCTACCCACACTCGATGTCACTCCTGCGTCATCACCACTCGAGGTAAGTTACACTCAAGGCCTGACTATATGGAGGCGAGCTGGCCTGGATAGCGAGCTAGCCCCGATGATTTCAAGGGAATGAAAAGAGCCAAAACTTCAAGGTTAAAAATTACAACCGTCATTCCGGTTGTAATTATGAAATTATGGCAAATTTGTTGTTTTAGTTTTAAATGTTTTGCGTAGTTATTAAATCAGAATATTGTAAATTGCTTGAGAAGATTTATCTGATGATAAGTATTAAATCGTTTCCATTTGTTGTCACATGCCTACTGCCATTTACGTGTTTAATTTACTTTGGTTTATTGGAAAGACGTAGCAAAACGTATAATTGATATATGCGTTTGAAAAACTCAATCTGAAGTGAAGAGTGATGTCATGTAACATTTCCTGAAACTGCTTATGTTCTAAAAATTTACATTTTTTGCAATGTTTGAAACAATAATGTTGTTAATTGTTACTAATAGAACTAATAATGTTACTAATTAGTAATTATTACTACTTCTTCTGCTGTTAACATTTATTTTTCATAAAAATTGCACTAACTTAAGAAACTAATTTTTGTTTTATTTTTTTGCATTCGTTGCTTATTTTATTTTATTTTGGATAAACCTCTAATAAGATAAATTAGCCCTTTGTTTGGCATATTCAAATGTTTGATTTTTACCGACAAATGAAAAAATCGTCTGAACGTGAATACGGAAATGTTCAACCAACACCCGAGTGACATTTTTTAATTTTTTCATGTATGTACTTTAACGTCGTAAAATCATCTCATAATTTTAGTTGTGCAGACGGAGAGGATGCTGTTTAATTCATTGATCATTAAGTGTGTCGTTCAATTGGAACTTATCCAAATGATTGACAATGTTGTCTTTTTCCCAAGCACCAGCAAGCGAGAAGATGAAGATACTATGGCTGAATTACAGGTCAGTTGTAATTACAGTCGTTGTAGGTAATACTGAGATAAATTGCTTTGTTGTAATGTTGTTATATTAGAGTTCTCCTTGGTGGCATAACAAAGTTCTTAGCTGAAACACAGAATATGTAATATACAGAAAAGTCACTTGTGTCGGAACCTTTGATGTTTTTGTCCTCAAGCATATTGTGCCGCGCATATCGAATGCCATTATTCCAGCATGATATTTAGGGCTTTTCACTTGTTTCCAAACACTAAAATGAAACGATGTCATTTCTTATATTGAAATATTTTTAATTTCATTGTGAAGAAATGACGTCATGTAATTGTAGTGGTTGGAAACAAATGAAAAACCCTAAATATATCTTGCTGGAATAATGGCGGCCATGAGGATGCAGTGCTCACTTAGGTGGCCCTTTTTGTATAATTATTATTCTGTGGTTGTAGGGGTGGGGTGGTCACAAAGTCATATATGCATCTCTTAATCTGTAGAGAACAATTGATTTCACTGGAAGTTAATACAACAAAACATGAATATGTGAACCTCCCTATTTATCGACTTCACAACTGGTTCCTCCTTCTTTAGACATGTAAAAATTTCAATAACTATCCTCGAGAGACTTTATAGAATAGACGATTTCCTTGGGTTGAATTCCTTAAATCTCCTTATGTGTTGTATGCAGGCTTGTAAGATCCTCTTTGTCCTGATTGGTCAAACTGTTTCTCTAAATCACCTGCAATGGTGTAGTAAATCCTCTTTCACCTGATTGGTCAAACTGATTCACGAAATCACCTGCAATGGTGTAGTAAATCCTCTTTCACCTGATTGGTCAAACTGATTCACAAAATCGCCGGCATTGGTGTAAACATAGCCAAATCGCAAATTTTACGAATTTTACTTTCCTTCCCGAAATACCAAAAGAAATCATAAAACTGAACTATGTGATCACCGGAGTGCTATAGTGCTGATTACATATTATATACACAATGGAAGTCGGACTATTTAGTTAAAAAATAGCCATTTGAATACCACATGTAGCTACAACCGTGTTTTTCTAGAGAGAGATTGTCAACCATAATCCAATCAAATACGCTCTTTGAGGGTTTTGCATCTTGGTTTTTGACGTTTATTTACCCAGAGCTGAACTTTCATACAATTTCATGTCTTGACATTGTTATAAGTAGCAACGATACACTGTAGTCAGAGTTGTTTACTTTCAATAATCGTACATGTCCCATTATGATTGGTGACTTAGTTTTTCATTATTTCAGGTTCTCAACACTCCTCGACGAACCGCTAAACGAAAACACGACGGAATGTTTCCACATCTTACCTCTAACCAGCTGTTTTTGTTTTGCGAAGTGCTGGAGGACTCGTATAAGTTTGCTAAAAGCTTCAATTGTAACAACGAGCTGAGGACGGCGCTTTGGAAAGCTGGTAAACGCTTCATTAATATATTGTGGCATTTGACACGAGCGACACATTTTTGTACAGTTTCTATTTGAATTGAAAATTAATACACGAGTAAAAACATCACATCAAAAACGTTCAAGCAAAAAGGCAAATTTGTGGCTGTCCGTCCTGTTAGGGCACTCACTCTAAAAGCTGTGCATGTCCGTATACCTAGACACCCACATGCAGCGTGACCAAGTTTCTTTACCAGATTTGGTCGTATGAGCTTAAACTGTCCTCCCCCCTTTTCTGAATGTTGCATCTACATAAAACGGGTGGGAAATTCTAAGGTCATTAGACCAAGTCTTGCGAAAATAAAAAACATTTGCTTTAATGGTTATACTGCACGCATAGTTTTTTTCTGATAAATAAAGATTGCGGACACACAAGTAAACTTTTCCCTTGCTTCATTCATTATAAACTTCTCTGTATAATTTCTTTGATCATTTGAAAGTTTTAAAGGACAGTCGAAGCCCAATTCATTGAAACAAAAGACGTCCAGTTCGGGCTGCCTGTTGAGAATTCTCTTTCGCATGTACGACGACGTTGCGAGAAAGGAATCATGGGAAGGCGTCGAGGAAAAGGTGTTGAGGTACACCTGGGGATTAGCAAGATCAAGAAACCATGTGCATTCCCGCTTTTAGAAACCATTTAAACTTTTCCTCTATAGCTTGATTTGATTTATTTCTTTTTCTTTCTTTTTAGGATCTGCGATGAAGCTTTGAGGCAGTTTATTGAATTACAGTCAGTTGGTCACAGGGATGCTTGGACAAGTTTACTATTGCTTATGTTTACCAGAATTCTTCGTTTGAACGATGAAAGAGTGAGTAGTGATTTTTTATATGGTTAAATGATGGAAATGATGTGCCGTGTCGCACTCCCCCCGTCTTGTAAAGTACGAGCATGCGCTTTTCGAAAGTCAAAGACTGATTCCCACCAACCCCCGTACAGTAGCGTGTTAACATGCTCTCTCCATAAAAGTTATGGTTGTAGATAGTTTGAGAGGAAGCTTTTTGTTGAGATTGAACTCTTGATGGTAGACTTTTTAAGATAGAGCTTTTTGTTGAGATTGAACTTTTGATTATTGATGTTTTGTGTGGAGGGTGATCTCCGCCAAAATTAATAGCTATATTTTCAATTACTAATGCGCATTTTGTCTTTTGCAATGTGCATTTTGTCTTTTTCATATTCCATTCTGGCATTTCGTAATCGGATCTTGTCCTGTACAATTTCTGTTAAAACTCATTTTGTTGTTGAACATTCCATTATGATGACGTAACATTATTCGTGAATCGCAAAACATCAAATTTACTTGTTCACATTATAATTTATTTATAACTATTTACCGCCAAAAATTGTTAGTATCAATAAATTATACTGTTGCAATATTTTATGAAATAACTATAACGATCTTTGTCCTTCGAAGCAACTTTAGTATTCTGTGCAAAAGAGAAGATTTTTTTGGTATGGGGTATGATAATGGAGCGAAAAGTCAAGAGGCAGCAGCTTTACTTTGCCGAGCAGCAAATTTACTGAATCCAGACTCTTCTGGATCAGCAAGTCTTAGATCTTCATCGACTGCTCAAGATGGTAATCTTGCCGATCATGGAGCTGCTCAACGTGTCCAATCGTCAACACTAGACAGCACATTGCAAGAACAACATCAGGCTTCGTCATCTCAAGCTTCCACATCAAGATCATCTTGTTCGATAAGAGAGCAGGAGTTTAGGCGGTTGTTTGCACCGTATAATCGAGCTAACAATGGAAAGATGTTTTCTCATTCACCAGCAAAACGTGGTCGATATAATTCGTGGCGACAACAAGGTCGGTGTTACAAACCACAAGAGACTTGGACTCAAGATTTCTTTTGTCTGGCAAACCATGAGCAAGATTGTGTGCCTACTAGAATGGAAAAAATTAAATTACAAAAAGCTGGTTTTGGACGTAGACGTATTTCCTTCCATAAAGATTCAAGTGCAGCCAAAGTGAAGGCAAAATTAGAAGAGATCTATCCCCGGCTGGGCTGGTATCAGGCGGTGGTTTTGAGATATTAAGATGGTTTATCACCCAAAGATTTGTATCTTATTACCTCTCCACCAAATATTGGATATTCTGTCCACTTTCTTCGTGATAGTTCAGGCCTAGGGCAGACAATTGCATATATTAGACCAGTTCAAGCTGATCTAGATTCCTCATCCTTGGAAACGGATGATCACGCTCCTGCAGGAGATGCTACAGAAAACAAGGTACTGTATTCATAGCTTTGAGTAATTTAAGGGATAAATTATTATACAGGAAATGTTATATGTATACATACATTGTTTTTGCTAGGATATATCTATTGGACCAACAGTGGAATGCTTGAATTGCTCAGTGCAGATTCCAATGAATTCAATCAAGAATCATATGGTTGAATGTAGAATGGACAAACACCATAAACAATTTAAGAAGGTCAAGATCAATGTATGCTATAAGCTTGCATTAATTCCTATTACACATTTACTGTGAAAATGCCACACTGTTTTTTGTTCACCTACTTATTTTGAAAATTGAAAGTTTTGTATCTCAGACAATATGAATAATTTTTTATCAGGCAAGTTTTTCTTGAACTCCATTAATGTCTGAACTGCATGAAATGTTTCCTGATCTTCATGATACAGCCATAGAAGAAGCTGTAAGAGTTTGTGAGGGAGACATTGAAGTGGCAGTTTCATCATTGTGGATCACAGTAAGTACTTACATCATTATATCAAGTTCCATGTATGGGATTATCAATATATTTTGGTCGTAGCATAGACTCCATTGAGGCTGAATGGTGGTGTGAAAAAACAAATATTTTATTTTTCATTTTTTTAATAACTACCTCCAGATAATGAATGAATTAATGTGTTTGTACATGTAACTTCAATTATAAAGGCAAAGGAATATTACTTAAAGAGGAGATGCCTAATTATGGTGCTGTTGATAGCGCAAACTCAGATTCTGAAAATCTTCAACAGGCAACAGCAGTTCTTCTGCAAGAAGGTATGAAGAAATTAATAGGTACATACATGCTGCTACACACTCATAAATGCATCATTATTGCAGCATTCATCTTAATTATTTTCAAAAGAAACGAGTTGTAAATGATTTGATATAGTTTTCTTGATTGGTTTAAAATGATGCTTTGCTTCATGCATGACTTTTAGCTTGTTGTTTTAACTGGCAATATGCTCCTGCAGCAAATTTTGGTCTCAATATGAACAAAGTTGAACATGCTTATTGTGATTTTTGCATGTTGTACTTAGGTGTAGAAGTTGTGATATTGGTAAGCTTAGTGTAGCAAATACTTGCTGGGTTGTATTGCTACAGTAATTATTTGACTGGTTTTCTTTTTAAGAACAAAAGAAGACAGTCATTGAAGAGTATCGAGATGCTACAATTGTCAGTGACAGTCCAGTTTTTCGAGTTTATGTGAACCACATGGCAAGTGACTTTGCCAATGACATTTTGGGAATTTACAAGAATCACAGTAGTAAGTTGTGTGCTTGGTTCAGTGTAAAGTTTGAAAACGAAACTTCAGTTGGCAGTGGTCCTATGCGAGAATTTTCAGCCTAGTAATGAAAATGACTCTTAATGGTTTTCCACTGGATGGTGAAGAAAGGCCCAAAACTCTTGTTTTTGACGGAGAAAATGACCATAAAGTTCCTGTAGCCAACTCACTTTAGAAAAGTACAGGCTTCTGTAAGTGCATTGGAAGAATGATTGCACATTCTTTCCTACATGCTGGATCACCACTATTTAGTTGTTGATTATTTGGTATGTGACAAAGATGAGATTTCTTTAATAGAAGTTGTGGATATACCTGACATTGATCTGAGGATTGCATTGAATGAGGTTTGAAAAGTTTTATTGCACCTGAGCATTGCTTTTCAGTATTTTGTTTGAGCTAATCATGTGTTTTATGACATAGTTGAACAGCCTTGGCAAAGATGAAGCTCCTGGAACTGCATTGAAGGATGTTTTAACTCAGTACAGAGCTGAAGCTTCAATTTTAGATACATCATTCTCTGGTGCAAATCTTCATGTTATTACCCAGCAAATCATGTTACATGCTGTCCTTACCCGTAGAAAATCAAAGTTGCAAAATCTAGCTTATGGAATGAATGAGTTTGGACTGGTTGATTTCTGAAGAACACAAAGATGTTGTTCAACCACAACTTTTTCCACAATCAACTGCTTCTCTTATTAATAAAGACAAATTAAAAAGAATTATTGAAGAAGAACTCCTTCCTTGTAATCAACTGATGTTGTTTTTGAAACAATACATTGATCTAATTGATGGGACAACTAGTGGTAAGTGTTTTGGTAGAAAGATGCAGGGAAGGTTGTAAGTGGTTGTAGTCAGTCTATGTATGTTTTTTGTGTGAATATGGTTTGCTTTTTAATATTTGCACCACAACTGATTATATATTATGTTGGAGCAGCAGTAACTTTATCTGTTTGAACAATATCAATGTCAGTAATATTTTCTTGCTTTTAAAATGGATCTTTGCTTTCTCCAAAAAAACTTAAATGTTTGACTGTTTGAGGTACTAGTTATATTAATACTTTAATACCTGTCCATTCCTAGGGGCAAATCTTAAAGATCTGTAGTCTTTTTGGACTGGGTGTAATTTACTGCCTGCAAATGGTGCAATCCTGCATCTCAAAGTTGACAGAACAAAAAGATTGTAATCTGCCCCCAGAAAGTAGAACTTGTTTTCATTTGTTAGTTCTTCCATGTCATGAAAACTTTGATGAAATGAAAGCTAAACTGGATAAAGCTTTGCAATTTGGTTCAAGAGGATTTACCAATATTTGATCTTGGAACAGTTTATACATCTCTTTCAGCAATAACATAGCTTGTTGCAGCTAATATGGATGATGCACAAAATTGAAATATTTTTATTCTTTGTTTTGGATATCATTTTTATAGTTAAAGACTTAAAGTGAATATGTTAATGTTTCATTAAATTTTGTTCTGGCAGTGCATCAGCATTTATGTGCTAAAAAATGTTTTCTGCTAAAATGTTTGAATAATGAACATAATGAAAAATTTATAGCCTTCCTTGCCATACATATCTTCTTTTGTATTATCTGAATTGACACCAACGAACAATAAGTCAAGTCTTATAGAACTCAATGTTTACGAGTCACGAATAATGTTGCGTCATCATAATGGGATGTTCAACAACAAAATGAGTTTTAACAGAAATTGTACAGGACAAAATCCGATTATGAAATTCCAGAATGGAATATGATCAAGACAAAATGCGCATGAGTAATTGAAAATATAGCTATTAATTTTGGAGGAGATGCGCTCTCTTGGTGTTTTTTCCCTTACTGGTACCACTAATCTTTTAAATTTGCCTACTGAGACTCAACTACAATGTGTTTCTCATCTTTACTACACATCTGAGATAAGCATTACCTTATTTTCATTACATTCTTTACTCTTGTGTCTGCAGTGTTTTTTTAACACAAGTAATTATAATTCCGTGTAGTTGGAGTTTGAAAATTATTAATAATTTACAATGGTTTATTAAATAACAAAGATTTTTTATAATATGAAAGGACTTATGCAATAATCTAGTTGTATGGAATTTTGATTAATGAAATAAGAAAACATTTGCATTTTCGAAAACCGTGTCTTAAGCATGGACATTTAAATCCTGTCTTAGTTGATCCTCAACTCCTGAGTTAAAACTTGTGAAACTTTATTACATTTAGCATTAGTCCTTTGGAATTTGACTAATCTCATATTATCATGCACTGTGTATGCGGTACTTATTTATGTATTTTTATTTCTATGACAATTGTTTTTAGTCAATGATGTATACTTAGTTATATAACTGAGATGTTCTACATAGACACACTATAGAAGAACATACAGTAGAGCCACTCTATTGAAATTTTTCGTGCCACACATATCTTATTACGCATGTGATTACCATAGTGGCAGCCAGTCAATTGCTTTTTTTGACGAATAGGAATGATGAAATCTCTAACGGCAGCCAGTAATCTAATTAAATATACAGCAGCCAGTTGCACACGAAGTGGACCTACTGTATGTTCCCTATACTGTGGCATAGATGTCATTAATGTTTCATAATACTGTTTGCTGATGTAAATCATGACTCACTCTTCATCTTCAATCGTTATTTTAATGTGTTTATGTAACAAAACTCACAAGGATAAAAAATTGATGTTACAATAAGGCATGAACTATGATCACCATTTTTTAACTGATGTGTTCATTTTTTAACTCTCATCCGTTTTTTGAGTATGTGACATGTAAAGAACTAAAGCAAACATAATTTTATTCTCACGTCTTACTTCTAAAACGGAAGTAATTTTAGAAAAATTAAGCGATATTTTAGAACTACATTACCGACATAACAAATTAGCTAAAGCAGCATCTCGATAAAGTATGACTAAACCTGCATGAGAAATCATATCTAAATTGTACATCAACTTTCTAACTATTAACAATGAGCTGCATGGTAAAGAAAAGCAAAACCTGTTCAAAGCTATGGGAAAGGTGAAATAGCATACTTGTCTATGGAAAAAATGGGAATCTGTAAAAATTTATGTACGAGGGATGGCATGTCCAATCATGCAACACCTCCCTTTTTTGCCGACGCCACTTTGGACTAAATGCTGTGTCTCTAGGAAAATGTTGATAGTTCTATACAACATACCATTCATTTTAAAAGTAAGAATATTTGCAAAATAAGCAAATGTTGAACACAGGAAGAATGTATTTACAAAGAGAAAGAACGAAACCGAATCTATTTTTGTAAAATGTTGATTCATGCAAGTGATGCAACACAGTGAGCTTTTAAAATTATACTTTTGATCATATTTGTTTAACAGTTTCAAGGTTTACTTTTATTGCATCTTTGCTGTTGTATATACAGTGTTTTTATTGAACATAAGTAATTATAATTGCGTACAGTTGATGTTTGCCATGTATTTATAATTTACAATGGTTTATTCAATAACAAAGGGTTTTTTATAATATGAACTGACTTATGCAAGAAATATACATGTATGGAATTTCTGTTTAATGAAGGGAAAAATCCATTCACAGTTTCGAAAATCGTGTCTTAATCATTGGCATTCAAATCCTTACTTAGATAGGCGATTCTCTATTCCTGAGTTAAAACTTGTGAAACTTTATAAGATATAGCAGTAGTCCTTTTGAATTTGACTAATCTCAATGTTATTATGTACTCTGCACGAGGTTCTTACTTATGTATTTTTATTTCAGTAACAATTGTTTTTAGTCAGTGATGTATACTTAGTTATATAACTAGAATGTTCTACATAGACGTCATTAACGTTTTTTAATACTGTTTGTTGAAGGAGTTCCTGACTCACTCTTCATCTTCGTTTGTTATTCAAGTGTGTTAATGTAACAAAACTCACAAGGGTAAAAGATTGATGTTACAAGAAGGTATCAACTTTCATCACCATTTTTAATCTGATATGTATGTGGTCGCGTTGTTTATATTAAATCTCTCATCCGTTTGTTGAGTATGTGACGTGTAAAGAACTAAAGCAAGCATAATTTTATTCACACGGTCGTCTTACTTTTAAAACAGAAGTAATTTTAGAAAAATTAAGCGATATTTTAGAATTACACTACAGACATAACAAATTAGCTAAAGCAGCATCTCGCTAAAGTATGACTAAACATCCATGAGAATTCATATCGAAATTTATATACCAACTTTCTAACTATTGACAATAAGCTGCATGGTAAAGGAAAGTTAAACCTGATCAAATGTATGGGAGAGGTGAAATAGCATACTTGTCTATGGAAAAAATTGGAACCTGTGAAAATTTATGTAGCGGGGACAGCATGTCCAATCATGCATCACCTCCATTTTTTGCCGACGCTACTTTTGACTAATCGCTGTGTGTCTAACAAAATGTTAAATTAAATGGTTTGAACCCGGGAGTATCGTTACATGTTTGTAAATGATGATCGTCCAGGTTAATAAAGTCCTGAGAAGGACTGTTTTTGTTGAATGAATGTTTTATGCAGTGCGGTGTTTGAAATTAAATGAAGATATGATCTTCGCGTTTGCTGGATTTAAGCATCAGTCTGAACTGAAAAATAGATTTGAATGGATTTTCAGAGGAGTTGATTGACAAAGGTCACATGGTGGCAGGTTCATTGTTGGGCTCATGTTTCTCGTGATAGGAATGTCCAATGAATGTTTTCGAGAAAACATGAGCCCAACAATATTGACCTGCTCACCATTGTGTGACTTCATAGCTCAGTTGGTCAGAGCACTGCACCGGCACCGCAGAGGTCATGGGTTCGAATCCCGTTGAGTCACCTGATTTTTTCAGGTTCCTGAGACGATTGCTTAAATTGTCCAGCAAAGTGCGAAGATCATATCTTCATTTAACTGTTTTTGTTGTTGTTGACTGACGTTTCGACAACCTTAGCGGTAGTCATCTTCAGAGTCAAATGAGGAGTAAACGTCAGGTTAGCCGTATTTGTTGTCTGGTTCTTACGTCATTGTATTGTGTGTACAGGAAATGTGTATTGTCCATGAGGATTAGTGTGAAGTGAAATATTTTATTTTTAGTAGTGATGTGTGATTTAGGTGTGATGTTCATAGTTGTAATGTGTGGGTGTCAATTGTGTATTGTCATTGTGAACTAGTGTGAAGTGTAATGTTTTTAGTTGATCGTTTGTTTGTATTGTGAATAAGTCGTTTGTAAGGTGCCGGTAATTGCTGTGATCTGTTCAGAGGGGTTTGTTCCAAGTTGGTTTACCAACTTTCTAATGTAAGCCGTTGTCTATAGTCAGTACTGTAAGTAATGCATTTTGCCGAGTCCCAGTCAATGTTGTGCTTTGTGATTCGGTGATGTTCGGCAATGTGATTAGTTTTGTCTTGTTTCTTAGTAGCTCGTTTGGGTTCAGTAAGTCTTATGTTTAAGTTCCTGCCAGTTTCCCCGATATAGGAGGCGTGGCAGTCGGAGCAGTTTATTTTGTAAACTGCACCTAGTCGTTCGTTGGGTTGTTCTTTGTCCTTTATATTCGTTAGTACTTGTCGTAACGTTGTGATTGTTTTATGTGCGACAAGTATGTTGTATGGTCGTAAGATACGCGAGATAGTTTCAGACGAACCTTTGATGTAAGGTATCGTAGCTGTTGTCACTGAGTTGTTCGTTTCGTTGGGTTCGTTGGGTTTGTAAGTGTTGCGTTTGATAAAGTCAGAGTTATAGTTTTTTTGTCAAAAACACGTTTGAGATAGTTGTTTTCGTTTTGTAGAGCGTCCGGTGAATCACATATGATTTGTGCACGTCTTGTTAATGTTCTGATTGTGGTGGCTTTGTGTGATGTAGGGTTGTAAGATGATTGGTCTAGCAGTCGGTCAGTATGTGTTGGCTTGCGATAAACTGTTGTTCGTAGTTTTTCGAGAAAAGGAAGAGTTCCGTTTTCTTCGACAACTTTGGTAAATTGTATGTGGCTGTTCTGTTTGTTGATGTGGTACTCTGCATGAGGTTCTTATTTATGTATTTTTATTTCTATAACAATTGTTTTCAGTCAGTAATGCATACTTAGTTATACAACTAGAATGTTCTACATAGATGTCATTAATAAGTTTTAGTACTGTTTGTTGAAGGAGATCTTGACTCACTCTTCCTCTTCATTTGCTATTTAAATGTGTTTATGCAGCAAAACTTACATGGATAAAAGATTGATGTTACAATAAGGTTTGAATTATGATTGCCATTCTTAAATTGATATGTATATGGTCGCGTTCTTTATATTAAATTTCTCATCTTTGTAAGGTATGTGACATGTAAAGAACTGAAGCAAGCATAATTTTGTCTACACGGTCGTCATATATGAAGTCTTATTTCTAAAACGAAGTTAATTTATTGAAAGTAAAGCGAGATTCTGAAACTATATAACTAACTTTACATAAAAAATTTGCCACTGAAACATCTCGATAATGTATGACTAAACATTCAATAGAAATCATAATTAAGTTGATACACCAACTTTTAAACTATTGACAATACGCTGCATGGTAAAGGACAGTACAACCTGTTCAAAACTATGGGCGAGGCAGAATAACATGAGATCATTTTTCTACATGTAGGAGGCTGAATTTTTCTTTATAAACTATACTTGTCTATGGAAAAAGGTGGATTTAATATTACGTCACCTACACCAGATATAAAAAAGTTCACAAAAAATATTCTCGTACTATATTGAACTTGCAGGAACGATGTCTCTTTCAAGGGAAAGAGCTATTTGTTATATAAATATAAGAAAAAATATGCTAGGAAGACGATTTGATCTTTTATAAAAACAGGACATTAATTAAATTTTCAAAGCCTTTATCAAACTTTCTATTTTATGAAGTTATTATAAATTACTTACAAAAATCATCACAGAAAAGAGTATCCAACCATGTATCAAAACCGTATGAGGTACATACTCATATTTTTCAATGAGTTTAATGAAGTTAATCTGTTGAATCTAAAAGCTTTGTATAATTTTCGTAGATTCTTTACAATATGACAATAAGAAATTGAAGTTCTGTTATGCCGCTCGGTGCTTAATACCTATTACATCATTAAATCTCTTGATCTTTGACTCTGGAATTTCGGAAAAACAGTTTGGCGATTTCCATTTGGACAATTTTTGGCCTTTATTCTCTTCAAATTTTTTTCAAATTTATACTGGAGCCTGTTGCGCGAAGCGTGGATAGCGTTATCCATTGGATAGTAGTTTTTTAAATTTGTGAATGTGCATGATTATATTTTGTTTATGATGATGAAACTTTGTAATTCTAGAACCAATATTACATTTCATTTATTGTTCAGTTCGAATTGTTAATTTTTCCCTTTTAAGATATTTTTAAAGCGCTCAAAAACGTTTCTACTCAGTTCAATGGATAGCGTTATTCCACCTTCGTGCAATTGATCTCTTCTCTGTTAATTTATTATAACAGTCTATGTAGAAAAACATAAATCTGGTGAGAACCATATATGGACAATGAACATGATCGTTAACTACTTTTCAGCTGTATCCAGTTACAAGGATGTGAATCAGAATGATCTCGTGAAGAGCCCATCCTTTACATTTGAAGACAACACGTCTACACTACAATACAATGAAAGGCAAAAATGAAGAAATATTTCATTATAAAACTGTGAATTTACGTTGTGAAACGAAGGAATGAATGTTGAATTGTAGAAACAGTCGTTTTGGTTCATATTTGGTAAGTTTTACAAAACATTAATTTTAAAACATTATTGTTTAGCTACTCTTTATATTGTATCACAGATTTTACTAACTTTTTCCATTTTAACTTTGATATAAGTTTTTCAGTTGGTCGTTGATTTATTTAATTTTAAAGTTTTGTAACTTATTTTTGTACCACTAGTTCTCTTCGTTTTTAGTCTGAAGTTCAAATAAAGGCTTCACGATTAAAACCAAAGATTCTCCATTAAAGTAAGTCAGAGTATTCACAACACTATATTTTAAATAAATTTCTTGTTTAAAAATGGCTTCACCACCTAAAAAACTGAAGATTGAGGCAAATGGATCTCGTTTAAGTAAACTTTTGATAAATAAAGGAACACAAGCTTTGAAAACAACATTGCATGTAAATTTTCGCTCGTCAAACCTAAGCGATGAACTTAATGAATCATCAAATAAAAGTACATTGGAATTATTAAGAAAAAGAAACGTCATCAACAAAGAGCAATGGAACCTTCTTTACCCATCAACTGGTTTTCCAAACCTTGATAACTTTGATATTTCATTATTGACTGTCTTATTGCGTAACATATGTGGTCTAACAGCGCCACATGGTGGATGGGATAATCTTCCTTCCTCTTCAGATACTTCAATCTCAGCAAATATTGCGAGAATAAAGTTTTATCGAAACAAAGTGTATGGTCACATAACCACAACTAGTGTAGATGACAGTGAGTTTGAGCATTTGTGGCAGGAAATTTCAAAGGCATTGGTTGGTCTGGGTATTCAACAAACTGAAATAGATGAAGCAAAGAAAGCTCCTCTCAGTCCTGATGAGGCAAATCATATTGAAATATTGAAAAACTGGTATGAAAAAGAAAAACAGTTAATCAATGTCGCTGAGGAAACTAAAGATGTTGTAAAAGAATTAAAAAAAGAGTTTGAAGTTATGAAAAATAGAGTTGATGTAGCAGGAGCAGATGTCAAGAAGCTTGGAAAGTTTTATTTCAATGGTCTTATAAAAGATCTTAACAAGAAATACCTTGAAGGCACTAGACAATGGTTATTTGAAAAACTTGACACTTGGTTTAACGATAAAAGTGAAGATGCTTCAAATGTCATGATTTTGGTAGCCGGTCCTGGCGTTGGTAAAAGTGTGTTTGCTGCTGAGGTGTGTCGACGATATTCTGAAAAGAAGAAACTTGCTGCTTCTCATTTCTGCAGATATAATCGATCAGATGAGAGGAATCCTCGAATGTTGATAGAATCATTGGCTAGTAGCATGTGTGATACAATATCAGAGTTTAATTGTAAACTGAATGAAGAATTACTGAGAAACCATTCCTACAAAATAGTCGCCGATGCATTCCGTGTTTTATTAAATAATCCATTGCATTCATTGGTAGGTCATGAACCAATGCTTTTGGTTATTGATGCCTTAGATGAAAGTCAAGTTGACGGCAAAAGTGAATTGTTGGAATTGATTGCAGAAGAGTTTGACCGACTGCCCAAATGGATCAAAATCTTCATCACCAGTCGTCCAGAACTTCCTGTTCAAAGGAAGTTGAAAGACATGAATCCTGTGGAAATTACAACTCATCCTCGTGATGAAAACAACGAAGAAGACCTGCACAAGTATTTGAAACATCAGTTAAACAATCGTGTGCAGATAAACCGCTACGTTCTTCAATCATTAGTTACAAAATGTGAGGGATCATTCCTTTATGCGTATTACGCACAACTGAGCTTGAATAAAGAAAATATTGAGCTTACTTACGAAAACATTCAACAATTCGTCCCTAGTGGGTTAAGCAGTGTTTACACAAAGCAATTTGAAAGAGTAAAAGATTTAACGAAAGAAAGTCCGGGAAACTCTGTTTTCTCAGAAACTAATTTTATGCAATTTCTTGAATTGTTGGCTGCCTGTCGGGAGTTTTTACCATTAACTTTACTGTTTAACTATTTAGGTTTTTCTGATGACATCAAGTTTGAAGTCCGCAATAAAATCATTGAACTGTTATCTCAAATTTTGCCAGTTTACGATGATTGTTTAACCGTGTATCACAAATCTCTAATTGATTGGTTGAAATCAGATGGTTACGAACAGCATGGATTTACAGTTGAGCCAAAAAATGGTCATAAGTTCTTATGGCATGCTTGTGAGAAAGTGTTTAAACAAATTAAGTCGATGAACATTTTTGAAGATCCGATGAACACTGCTATGATTAAATATGCTTTGAAGAATGGAGTCCACCATATGATAGAATGTCGCGAAAATGATCACTTTAGCTGGGCAGTTGATGTCAAAGTGTTTTGTGCAAGGTTAATGGGTGTAGAAGACATTGGCATGTCTACCATTGACTCTGAATTGCGTGAAATCATTAATGAGTGGCATACTTTCTTGAACAAAGATGTACTTGAAGAACTACTATTTCATTTGTTATTGACAAAGAAATTTGCATTATTTATGTCTCAAAAATGCGTAATTTATTTACAAAGTATTGCAAACAGAATTGATGGCAGTGACGAAAAAAGATTATTGGCAAGGGATTTATTCAAGCAAGGAAAGCTTGTTTGGTTTGAAAATTTGGACTCAACATACCTAACAAGCCATCATCATTTGACTGTCTCCTTGCGTGCTAACGTTTCATCCCTTTGTGTGTCGTCCAATGAAGAACTTCTTGCTGTAGGATATGATAATAGTCAAATATCTATTTTCAAGCTTCCAGAATTTACAGAAAGGTGCATTCTTGGCACTGCATTCGATGATTCAAGGTTGGATAAGTGGGATAATGTTAACACAATTAGGTCCCTGGATGACATCTATGACTATCCAACATTAAAGAACTTTGCTTTTGTACGTGGAAACATCTGTTGTTGTTCCTTTTCACCTACCGGAAATAGACTGGTAACTAGTGATGGATCTACTGAAGTAAAGTTGTGGGACGTTAACAATGGACGTTTGTTATTATGCTTAAAGTCAGCTGATGTCGTTAATCGTTGTTATTTCTCAGATTCTGGTTTGTTTATTACAGCAGACTATGTAAAACATTACTATGAACTTCCTAAAGAAGTGCTCACTGCATGGAATTCATTAACTTTGGAAAGAATTGATCGACGCTGCGTTGTTGATTACCAAAAACTACAATGCACCGATAAATGTCCAGAGTTCTTTGTTGAAGTCATCAAGGCTTCGTACGCTTTTGTAAAATTCTTCGAGAAATTTTATGTTTTTCAATTCCCAAAGGCAATCGATATTTTTTCATGTAAAAATGAAAATCCATCAATATATTTCCCTATAATACCTTTAACAATAACACACCATTATCGTGATTGTGTTGTTTATCATACAAACCAGGTTGTAAAGCTTTCTGAAATCAATCAGCTGACAAAATACAACAATGAAGGAGAAATCGAGTTTTGTTTACCAAATGTTTTCTGTCCATGTGTTGAGAGGAATCTTAACAAAGTCCATCCCATCTCGTTTAAGGAATTTTACGTTGTTCCGTATCTTTCCAAGCTTAAAATTTTCAAAACTGGTCATCTTTGGAGACCTTCATTTATCTTTGAGAAATTCGAAATTCATTGTTGTTGCTTTTCACCGGATGGATCTTTTTTTGCTGCTTTCGCTGTTGGTGACCACGTCAACCTTCATATTTGGAGCATTGAACGTTGCACTATTATTCAAACTGTACCAATGCCACTGAAGGATGCATTTGGATGTTGGTGGTCAGATGGTTTACTGTGGGTATGGGATGGTTCTGATCATCTTACGAAGATATCAACTTCGTCTGAAAAGTTTGTACATTCTACTCAAGCAAAGCAAGTTAACATTGGATTTAAACCTTTGAGATTCTTAGCCTATGGTGATGTCTTAGTTTGTATTGACAAAGAAGAAAGGTTTGTTCAAGTTGTTAGAGTTACCAAGGGTGAGATACAATACAACAAAAGACTTCCTGTCGATAGTTCAAAATTTGAAGCAGCAGCTGTATCACCTGATAATTCTGTTATTTTAACTGTAAGCAAAACAGAATACACATTATGGAAATGGGGAAATAACAACAATGAACTTTACTTGAAACGTTGGCATACTGCAGATATACCCATAACGTCTTTTATTGAAAAATTGTTTCCACATAGAACTATAAATGATGTCAGGTTCAATTGCTACTTTACAAGTGATAGTAAAAAATTGGTCATTCTAATCTGTGGCGACTACTTCGAAAAAATGGGTATTTATGTAATTAATTTGCATGAGAAAGGTGATGTGAATGCGATTTTGCATATTGTCAATAAAGATTTTGATATTTTCGAGCAATTCGTACACAAATCGTATTGCATTGGACAATCTAGTGATTGCTCATTGATGGCTGTCGATTTAAAGAGTGGTGAAATATGTGCTGAATTTCTTGGATCTGAGTTTCTATTTCTTAGAACTATGCATAACAACACGGGAACTTTAGCTTTAGGAACAAATGAGAGATACGGAATTACATTTTTTAAACTCAATGTACCTGAGTAAAATCACTAATTCAACCTTTGTAGTAATATTAATTTATCGTATTTACTAACATTACATATCACTTATTAATTGGTCCATTTTCATTAAAGCCATTGTTTTTTTAAGTCGTTGTTGCGATTACAGTTGTTTGTAGTCCTTGTTTCATCTTCATCATCATCATCGATATCTAATGAGTTATTGATATGTATCGACTTGAAATGTGAAACATTTTTCGTTATAAAGCGATCATCTTTGCATCGTACTGTTACTCGGGAATGATGTCTACATACATAAGAGATGTTAGCTTGTTTTGTCTCTGTTTCCTTACAAGGACATCATCGCCAACTTTTATCTGACTGGTCTTTATATTTCACTTGTTATCAGTATATTGTTTGTAGTATGCTTTCTGGCCAGTTTTGTTTTTTTGCACTTCTTTATGGCGATTGATGGTGTTCCTTTTTTGAGCGATTGACAACTTCCCCTTAACCGTTCAGTTGAACAATAGTTCAGCGGATGGAAACCCAGTTGTCGTGTGAGGTGTTACACGGTATTGTAACAGGAATCTGTTGAGTTCTTGTCGTCATGGACAATTTTCAATTCTTGCAGTTTTGAGCGTTTTACCACGAGGTCTCATAAATCTTTCTGCTTCAGCATTTCCTTTGGGCCAAATAGGGATTGAAAATTTTGCTTTTATTCCCAACGCTTTCAAATAACGAGAATATTCTTCTCCTTTGAATGGTGAGCCATCTGTCTTCACAACATATTGTATGCTGTGGGTTGCAAAGATCCTATCTAGCTTTAGAATTACTACGGAAGCTTTTGTTGACTTCACAATATATTGTATGCTGTGGGTTGCAAAGATCCTGTCTAGCTTTGGAATCACTACGGAAGCTTTTGTTGACTTCACAATATATTGTATGCTGTGGGTTGCAAACATTGAGTTCTATAAGACCTGGAGGGGAAACGTCAACAAAATTACTATAAATTATTAGCGCGCGGCCGCGTGGTCAAAAACATGGCGGATTTGGTTGTCAAAGTCAGCGGAAAGACGCGGACTCATAACATTAAATTTTTTTCGCCCACCCAGATTTGACAACCACAATTGCGATAATATAAAATATCGATGCCAAGCACAAAAACTTTTAGAAATTTTATCTTTAAAACATGCTGCAAACTTGTTTGGTATACGGATGCTGAAGTAATGCCAGAAAAGGAAACATTTCATGACACCGGTAAGCAACGTAAGATTGTTTACTATTTCATATTTAATATAAACGACAACCTTTTTGAAAATAGACATGTTTCGACATCTCATGATGCTATCTTCAGTATGAGTGAAATAATAGTTGATACAAGGTTTATATAAAAGTAATATGATACATAAATTACAACAATAAAAAGGAAATAAGATAAATTAATGAGGAGCGTCCGAGCGTATTATAAACTAAATATTGTATTGAATTTAAAAACTTGAACATTGAGGTCAGGGTTAGTTTTGTTAATGTGGAGTGCCTCTTTGATTTTAAGGGTGAATGAGGTGTCGGCAGTGTCGATGATTTTGAAGCAAGAGGGTGAATAGTTGGTTTTACATGAGTGAGATTTAAGAAGGTGTCGGTAGATATGAGAGTTTTTGCTGTTGTGGTATGTTCCCTAATTCTGGTGGATAAATGGCGCGAAGTTTCGCCAATGTATCGGGAATTACATCCCTTGCAATTGAATTCATATACCACCATGGATTTAATTTTGTCTATTTTCAAAAAAGTTGTCGTTCATATTAAATGTGCCTTGGCAATAGTGCTTTTACGAAATTATGTTTACCATTTAAAGTGTTCAGTGTTTTGTTTTAAGTCAATACTTGAAGTGTGATGGTATATATTTTGTAAATGTTTTTACTCTTAAGTTATAAAATAAGTTATGTTTATCCAGTCTTATTTGCTCTTTACTTAATCGCTTGCTAGACGAGGCAAAGAAACCAATTCTTATCGAGATATGCATATCTTAAAACTCCTTGTTTCAACTGAGTTTACCTTCAAGAAATGGAGGATTTTTTTATATTTTTCTGAAAATATGAAGCAAATATTAAGAACAGAGCTGTATTGAAATCAAATGCAGTGCAGGATTAATTAATGAACTCTTTGGTACATGTACAATAAAAAATATCTGTCTTAAACAGCTAGCCTGGACAATTAGACAGATTATGGACAATCATGATGATGGTGTGTAGAAAAACAAGGTTTGCTTTATGCTAAAAGTTTTATAAATGCTATCTGGTGTTTCTGTAAATGAATTGTTTGTTATAGTATACAGGTTAATACATCAAAATCAAGATAAAAACTACTTTGTTCAATAATGTGCCAAATTATACTCCTATCATGAAAAATTTGCTCAAGAATAGCTTATGATGACATGCATGAAACATTAAATATAGTACTCAGCATCTGACAAAATCCATACGTTTTTCAATTCCAGGTGATTAATAATTCACATAAGATGCATTGGTTGCTTAAAGTTGAATGTGGAAGAAGTAAAAATTGATGGCAAAGAACTTTTTATGTCTTTTGAAGAATTACGATATCATTTAAAAGAAAAAGAGTAGCAATCTAGTAAAAGAAGCGACATCTGCCTTCAACATGAGACTTTTCCAATTATGTATAATTACTTTGTACAAAATACTATTTTAGATTAACTTGATTTTTAAGTCATTCACTGATATTTTTACCAAAAGACGAAAAAAAATTCAAAGGCATAATGTAAAATTCAAAAGTTTGTCAAATTGTTTGAACCTAAAAAAATTAGTATAGGTAACTGTAATTTGTAAGGACACAAGAGAAAAGTAGGGCAAGAAGGTTAGCATTTTTGAGAATTAATATGTTCTTATTGACATACATTACAGCAATAAGAAAAGTGCTATGTCAGAGAAACCAATGTACTTTAATTTAAGAAATCGTATTTTCAATGGGAAATTAATGTAGTTCTGTTCAGTAGTAAATTCATGGTTTTCAATGACAATCCAGTTTCTATTATCTTGGCTCAAAACAGAACTAGCAACATGATTATAGAATTTCTGAATTTCGTTCTTTTGCTCTCCTAGTTCAAGATATTTTCTTCATAAGTTCTCAGTAGATTTATCAGAATATCATAATACTTTATAAGACACCCAGAATCAATCCTACAAAAAAAAACACAAAAAAATTACATACCTACTTATAATATATTTTCAGTCGACTTAAGTCGCAGGGGTATGCTAACTTTTTCTAACTCCTTTTTGGACATTTTAACTAAGATTTACCCATCTATTCAATAAAGACAGTTGCACCAAGCTGTTAACAAACAGTCAAAAGCACAAGTATTGCGCATGGGATTATGCATTAAAGTTTAACGACACATTGATAGTGTGAAGAATGCCGTTTGATATTTAGTTCTAACCTAGCTGAAGCATTATATGACAAAATGTACGTCATTTTACAGTAGATTTACCTCATTTAAATGTGTGTGTCTATTTCACAAAAACCTGAAGCATTATTTTCAATATTTTATGCTTACGGTATCGTGGTTGTTTTCGCTGGTTGTCATTAATATAAGCAGTAAGAGTTCCGGATTCGGGAGGGAACGAATGTTAAAAACTTTTCTCAAAGTGGAAGTTCTGACAACCATAATCCGCCATTACCGCCATGTTTTTGACTACGGGGTCCAGGCCCCTCTTCCCCTCCAGGTCTTATAGAACTCAATGGGTCCAGGACATTGAGTTCTATAAAAACTGGAGTGGCTATCTCAAGCGCGGCCTTAGATATATGATGATGCCAAAAAAATGGCGTATTTCATCTGTTGCCACTGAGATTTACCGAAATTGACCGCTTTTCTGGAAACTTTACAATTTCCCACTCCTTATGAAGACTCAAGTCTGCATAGGTTTACTAAATGAAAACAAACAATGTTGTATACAAATTACTTTAAGTAACCTTTTTCTGATGTTCTGAAGTGCAACTGCATCAAATACTTGTGAAGTTGTAGCACATTTTGATTTTGTTGTATTGATATATGAATTGGACAAAATGCAAATAATCATCAAAACACTTATAATTCCAATGGTGTTTATAATTCAATTGTAGTTTTAATACTTCTAACCTTCTTTTTCACTTTGTTTTGTTTTTCCTATGTTTGCAAAATAAGTGCACAATTTGAATGATTAACACAATTTTCACATCAATAATAAATTTTATAAGCAGTTGGTAGTGCATTTTGTTCTCTGAGTATCCACATCTGGTGTTTTGTTCATACAAGAATGATGAAGTGCAAGTAGATATGCCATAGCAAGGAAATAAAACCTAATGAATTAAGCACCTATAGTGTACTTTTATGCAGAGGCTTAGAAGCTTTTTAGAAGTTAGAAAGTTATTGGATTATATTACCTCTATATCATCAATTTAATGAAGAGAAATAAAAAACAAAAAATTTGTAGAAAAGCTTTAAAAAGTAAAAACTTTTCTTTAAAACAGCAGCAATAATGCATATGATAAATCTCCATTCTGTACTCTAATATGTAAATAAGCTCAAACTGTTTCTTAAATAAATATAAGAAATATATAAGAAATATACAGTACAGTAACTTTAAAGGTTTCATCACTGAATCGTTAATGTTTCAGTATAGTGCATTAGATATTAGTAACATTTAAACAACACTCAACTAAACTATTTTGATAAAGATATGACATGATTTAAACATTAAGTTATATAAAACCCAATGGTTTATACAGTTTGAAGCTTCACATCTGCAAAGGTCAGGAAGCTTTAACTTCAAAGCACTCAAGGCATCCTTAGTGAATCCATTGTCTCCATCCATAGAGTTTAAACATGATCAAATTAAATAACTCTGGATAAGGCTGACAATAAATCAATTATCTTTACAGCATTATTATTGTTTTAAGACTCTGCCTGGTCAATGACATCTTCCAGTCATCTTTACTCCTTGATCTTCCCTGCATGTTGTCAGCAAATAGAACATAACAAGCTCCGCTCCAAATCATGGATACTGTTTGGGCTGATCGTTTCTTTTTGATACTTTTCACAGAGCAAAATGTGTGCAGGGTCTTTTTTGCTTTAGGGAAACTATTTTGCAAATAGATAGGTAAATTTACGATTTCATGCATAAACAAATGACAGAAAAGTATGCAGAATTTTATGAACAAAAACAGGAAAAAATCAGCATATTTGGCGTTAAAGTCAGTCTTAAAAAATACGATTCTTAATATGTATTTTATGGCTTTTCAAGAGCATGTATAAGTGCTTTCCAATCGTTTACGGACTAAAAAAACAAGCAACTATCTCACCTGTAAGAAGCGATATGTTCCTTTTTGTGGAAACTACGACATCCAACAATTGAACGATTGAAGTGTTGGCATTATAAAAGAAATGCCAAAAAAGATATTGTCCTAGAATATGGAACTAACGATATCCATATTCTGCGATATCGTGTTTGTTTTTGAAAAATTCTTTATAATTTACTATAGACACTAGGGGGAGGTCCAGAATATTTTTTTTTCTGCAAATCGATCATTTCAGCGGAAATACTTCCGTTGGCCGCCATTTTTTTGGCTTCAGGTCCCAGTGAAGTTAGCCGCTCCAGTTATTATAGAACTCAATGGTCCAGGCCCCTTTTCTCTCCAGGTCTTATAGAACTCAATGGTTGCAATGATCCTGTCTAGCTCAGTGAACTCGACATTTGAATAACTAGAATGATAAACGAAGCCAAAAATTGAAGGCAAAAAAATATATGTCGTCATCATTCGTCATCACACGTCAGGCTCTAATCTCTTGCGTGATTATTTAAATTTTTTTAAATCATTTGTCGCTTGGTAATGGTAGAGTTCGGATCTTGATCCAAGCGTAAAAATAACGAAATTTTTGGAATGAAAAGGTTCATGGAAAGTGAATCAAATTGATAATTCGAGAAGCAAGGTGAGGTGGAGTTAGTTGCACTGCTCTTACGGTGCGGTTTTCCTTTAAAACATATCAAAGTCTTTAAGGATATTCAATTATTGATGTCGAGATGAGAACCATTTAGCATTTCAAGCACTATCAAAATCGATGAAAAATACAATCGCTCTGTAAAAAGTAAAAATGCGAGTTATAGACTCAATATTTTTATGAAACTGGATATTCAAGTTTCTTTTTTCTTCGGAAAAACAGATCTTTAAATCCACTAAAATGACAAAAAAAGACAAACACTGTCTGACACCGTTTGAAAATTTACCTTCTGATGTAAAAAAATTTTCGCTTGAATATTTTCTCGTCATATTTTCTTTTTGTATTGTCTTTTTAGCATACAGTGTAATTTTCAGTTGGCTTTTCCTCGTTACAAGTTGTAAGTTACAACGAACTCACTGTAGTAAAGTTTCAGCTGTAAAAAATAACCTTTAGCGAAGAGTTGGCCTCGTGTGTTGTTTGTCGTGATAGTGTTTATATGTTTATGCTTTTGCAATTTGTTTTCAAATTTATATTAACCGTGTATGTTTGACACTCAGGGGAATGAAACTGACGTACAAACCGCGTGAATATTCGACTTTGAAGGACTGGAACTGAAGTACAAACCGCGCAAGAGACTAGGACTTTGGCTTCAACTTTATATCTATAAAATGTATTGTCGTTATCATTCCATATATATATATATATGGAGTTCATTGGTCTAGCTTTGGAATCACTACGGAAGCTTTTGTTGACTTCGCAACTTCCACTTCGGAAAATCGTGAATATCTGTCAATGGCTACCAACAAGTATTCGCCTGAAGGTAATTGTCCATAGAAATGAAGATGTAGAGTCTCCCATGGTCCCTTGGGCATTTCTATCATAACTTAAGGTTCTTGTGACGTTTGTTTGCCCACTGCTTGACATGGGATGCATCCATCAATTGTTTGTTTCACCATGTTGTCAATGTTGGGAAACCAAATTTTTTTCTCGTAACAGCGCTTTTGTTTTAGAATTTCCTAGATGTCCCTCATAAGCGATGTTGATTGCCCGTTGTTGTAGTGATTTTGGGACTAATATTCTGGAACCATGTAGAATAATACCAATCGTCGTTACTGTCATCTCATCTTTAGTAGCTTTAAATCGTTTGACTAAGTCATTATCCCATTTGCCTGATCTTTTTGTAGCTTTTACGGCTTTTAACGTTTTGTCCGCATCCGTTCCTGTTTTGATTTTCACCACGGTCATTGCTTTTGGTACACTGTTTTGTGCAATTTAATTGACAAATTCTTCTGTCACTTTTTGTTGCTTTAAGGAGGTTCTTATCGGGTGTTTTGATAAATAGCCAGCGGGATTGTGTTTGTAGATCACTTTAAAGATATATGGTTGAAACTGAACCACTCGAACAAAATCTGTATGCTCGTTCAACTATTTTAACCAAAGATACCGACGTTTGTAACCCTTGCAACCTAACTAACATGTATTACTGAAAGTACTTAACAAAAAACAGAAAATGCCAAATGAGAAATTAATTTAACCTTGTGCAGAGAAGCCTATACCTCATCAAAGGAGCTTTGTTAAAATGTATTATATCTTTTCTTACATGAAGTACGGTAACTCAATGTTTCTTCTTTCTAATTTGTTATTTTTATTTTTATTTGAGGGAGAAACTTTTCCTTTATGTTTCAATGTAATAAACCATATTTAATCATTTGTACTTTCCTTGAAGTTTTCTCTTATGCCAAATAAGACAAGTACCTACAAAGTTTGAACGCTTCTACCAAGGTATTTATATATTAAAACAACTAATATTTAAAATATCGTCCATCAATTTTCTATAAAAGCGATTGTGTTGAGAAGCGTAGTCAGTTCTCAAGTTTAGTCACGCTATGAAAATTTCGGAACTTTATGATCATTTATTTCTTTGGAAACCTTTTGTTTTCATTGAGAGTCTTTCACTGATGATCAGAAAGTTTAATAAAATCAATTATGTTTTTTTAATGTACACCGTGAATGTTTAACGACATCAAAACTCAATGTTCTAAAGCTATTCATCCGACATCACTATTTACTTAATAAAAACTTAAACTGTGTTTGCATTAGCCTGTACAAGCGTGCGTATCTGAGCTACATCAATTATATCAATCAAAGATAATTTGCAAATGAATCATAGCTTATGCAAACTGGCTTAAGCAAACCTTGAGACTTTTGTGAGAACTCTCTAGCTGATGCAAACCGTCAACTTTCGGTGTAAAGCTTGCACTGACATTGTCTCCAGTTCTACCAAATTTCTCTTCCGTTTGCTTAACCCTGTACAACAATTAAGCATCTTTTTTTCCAAATCCCATCCTATATTCAGTCTTCACAATCCTCTCGTTCGAATTTTCTTCGTGGGTGTACAAGAGGTGAGGTGTGACCTTTCCCCTACTAATTATCAATATACCAACAATTAAATTTTGATTTTATCTTCCTGTCATCCATTAATATCCATTGATATTAGCCATTAATGTCCATTTGTGTCCTTTATTGCAGACGCACAGACGGTCGTTGATATATATTTAAATTACGACTGTGAATTGGCTTTGTCGAATATCTTTCAAAGATTGATCAATGATTTGTCTAAAGTTGCCCAAGGACGTCAAGCTATTAAATTAAGAGCGACATCAGTAAGTTGATGAATATGTTTCATAATGTTTACTTCTCTACATTCTCTTGTTCATATCTATGCCACTCGAAAAGGACTGGAACGTAGTGTATCATTTTGAAAAGGACTGGAACCTAGTCTATCAACATGAAAAGGACTTGAACATGTCTCTAATATTTTGTGCTGACAATGTTGATTATAATACATCTTTTTATCACGTTTTTATATGAATAGTATCAATGTCGTCTTATTTTTATATGATTTTTCCAGGTTCAAGAATGCAGTATTCGTATCAAAGTTCTGGAATGTCTCGTTTCTATTCTTAAATGTATGGTAGAATGGAGAAGGTATCTTTACTTTAAACCTGATTCTCAGGTGGACGATAATTTTGGTAAGTTTTAACACCTTTATGAAACTGAAGAAACTCGCATGTAGCGAATATAAACTTAATATTGTTATACATTTCTATAAGTTATCGCTTTATGATCCCTTGTACGCCTCTTTTGATATCGGCTACACTCACGATTTTTGTCTCCATCAAGATTCCATCTTTCTATACTCTGTATCCCCTATTTATCGAAGGTACCCCATTATTTTCTTATACACACGTTAATGTTCTTAATCGTAACTAGTTGCTCTACAATTGTAGTTAACCTCCCAGGATCTAAGTTATCTCTTAGTTATCTTTTTTACCCTTGGTGGTCTCGCGATGGATCAAGGCAATATCTTAATGTTTATAGTTATTCGTTATTGACCCATGCTACCCTCAATTTTCTAGTCTATCTCTACATAATCTATACTATCTTCCCAATCATCTAGGCTATCTGTTAATGATCTATGCTAACCTCTTAATGATCCACGCAATCCCTTATTGATCTCCAAATCATCATAGTTATTCCTCGATGCTTCTGTTTAATCTCTTCCATATAAATTTCCTGACAGATCTGGTTGATGGTGCACCAACAATTTCTCGAAAAGGAAGCACCAAGGAGAATGAAAACGGGGGGAACCCGGCCATTTGCGATCTCAAAAAACGGGGGGTTAGTCAGTCCTCTCTCAATAGTGCAAAAGACATCGATAATGCTGAAGAATTCGAGAGTCTTAAACAGAAGAAGGAGACGAAAGAAAAGGGAATTCAATAGTACAAAGCCATCGATAATGCTGAAGAATTCGAGAGTCTTAAGCAGAAAAAGGAGACGAAAGAAAAGGGAATTCAATTGTAAGTTTGGTCAACAATTTTGCTTATCTTCTGTAATTTTATTCAATTTTACGATTTACTTTAAGATTTAACAAGAATCCATCAAAAGGTATAAAATTCCTTCAATCTGAAGGTCTCCTTGGTGAGAAAGCAGCCGAAGTCACTCAGTTCTTACACACTAATGATACACTTGACAAGGTGATGATCATTTTAGTCCATCTATATCCCTTGCAATCCTTTAGTTTATGATGTACTAGACAAAATGATGATCATTTTACACCATCTATATCCCTTGCAATCCTTATGTTTCATTTCACATGATGTTGTCTTCTTTCACTAAAATTTTCATTTTGTCACATTTGCCCGCTATCTTTGAGGAATTCTTGAAGAAAAAGGAACATATTCGAGTCCGGATCGTCGATGGTCTCCTGTAGCGACTTGAGCGCGTGCCGGATGGTTATCTGTCGGCCTTCCTCATCCTAAAGGCGCGGCGGTCCTCCAGTTTATCGAGAACCAACCCGAGCACATTATCAAACGCGCTAAGTCCTCTCTAATTGAGAAAAATCTGACCAAGAATTAAAATTAGAGAAAGTAGTTCAGGAGATATCACCAGATTCTTGAAGAAAATTGAACATATTCGAGTCCGGATCGTCGATGGTCTCCCATTGCGACTTGAGCGAATGGCGGATGGTTATCTGTCGGCCTTCCTCATCCCAAAAGCGCGGGGGATGGAGGTCCTCCAGTTTATCATAAACCAACCCGAGCACATAAGTCCTTTATGGAGGTCTTGGTTTATCTCCCGAATGGGGCCCAAGCAAAGGAGACTGGAGCATCATATCGCCACCGGGATTTCATCTCCTTTCTGTGTAAAGCATTGCAGTATATACTAACCCATCCCTTTGCGGGATCTAAACCATCCAAGTTGAGCTTGCTCATTTTAAAAAAAACACCCAAGCGTAAAAGAGCTCTATGCCTTGTTCAAGGGCAACCCTGAGCTTCTCAATGAAGAGTCGATCCTGAGCGCGGTCAAATCCAGGTTGCTCAACTATTCTGAAGATACAGGCCAAGTTCGAGACAGCGTCGCTGATGTCCGTTTGAAAAACTAACTCCTGGCGGTCATTACAACCGCGCCTTCTCTCCAGACTCATAAAGAGGGGAAGTTCGATCACTTGCTGCTGCTCGTCTTTGGCCGCTTTCTGGCGTGCCAGAAGATTCCCGAGGCCTTTCTCAAAAGCAACTATTTCACTTCGCGTGCGCAGCTGGTACAATTGTTTACGGAAAACCCTCAAGGGTTTGAAGCCAATCTTAGGCAGCTTCAAGCGGATCAGGATATGCGTGTTGCCATCGTGGCTGAATATCGCGTGCTTGCGAATAAAGTAAAACAACAGTTTCTCAGCAGGTATCCCTTTGAGTTGGTCGCTATCGCCATAGTCGACTTCGGCCATCCTCAGTTTCGCCTGATGAGGAGGAATTTGCAGGAGATCAGACAGCATGCTCTTGCGGTACCGGGGTCAGGACAGAAGTTTGGTGATTTGGCGGCCTTGCTTGACACCTACTCTAAAACACCCGAGATCAAACTTATAAATTATGATCGTCATTTTTCGCCTGGAAGCGTCAGAGTCAAGATGACTAGCGAGGCTGCCTTTAGCAATGCGCTCCTCATTAACGGGAGCTGCATCACTAGCAAGTGTGTTACTACATTGAATGCTCGAGGCCTTGTTCGCAAGATCCACTGAGCTTGATCCCTATATGGGAGTACGCTTTGGACCGCCCCACCCGTACGCAGCTGGAGGTTGTTCTCACCTAAGCTCAGGCCGCCAAGCGACTTTAGTATCGTCGTTCCGATAGAGCTGCGACGATGGTGGGACGCCCTTCTGCGCGTATTACTCCGCAGGCGGAGAGGGGGGACGGCGTATGGTCTACGCTTGGCCCAGTTCTCAGCTCAAGTCGAGTGCTTCGCATGGGGATCTGGCTGAAAGTGAATGATGTCGAGAAGACAAGTTCGAAGTGAGCAAGCCACACAGGCTGGTTTCAGCTTTCACAGTTTTTAACCCTGCATTAGAGATTGACGCGGGGGCCATTATTGGGTTTTCTTCAACATCTTCTACCTTAGGTTCGATAGTGACATTGCTATTGGAGCAGTATGACTTTGTGTGAGCCCTCCGCGCCCCCTTCTTCACCTCTGGTGTCGACGGCGCCTCTCTATCCTACGCTGCCTACTGCGAGCGATGCTGGAAATACGTACCAATCACAGGAGATTTCAGAGTTCGAAACAATTCAACTGACTCTTTCTCGAGTTTAGTACACACTCCGCGATGTCCTCTTCTTCTAGCACGAAGCCTTTCCAGTTTTTCCTTCTCTTCAGTCGACATTTTCGTAAGAAACGAATATAAGCGACTTAATTTCGTTAAAGGTGCCCCACGTGCATGACAATTATGATGAAATTGTACGTCCATTTAATTAGCATACATGTGAGTGGTAATGTCAACTTTCATCAAGCCAAAAACCTTGTTTGCTAGTAATAAGATGTATAATATATGCACGTGGCTGTTTAATTTTAAGAAAAGATGGTAGCAAACATAGCATGCTCATGTTTATAAAATGGAGACGTTTTGTCAAATCATGTAAGATGCTTATTGCGTTGTAAGCGAGTGACCATTTCATTAATGTTTTATTGATATTAACAACATTTCATGAAAATTTGACATTGTTGAAGACAGAAATATATCTTTAACTTATTGTTACATTTTGTCACATATAAAACTTGCTAACATGTTATCACATTTTCTTTTTCAGTTTCAACTTGTATAGATATAGGTTTTACGATCTACTCTCGTATACGTAAATATGGCCACTTTATCTCATAAGGGATGTAGTATGCAGTTCCGCATATCCATCGTTTTTTTTTGTTGTGGGTTTTACTACGATCATCTATCTTTACAAAAATGAGTTTGTGTCTACTCGTCAACCTGAAACAACGTCTACTCATCAAATTGGAACAACTTCTACTAATGAATCTAAAACAGTGTCTACTTATAAATCCGAAACAACGTCTACAATTGCAATAAATATAACATCGTCTCCATTACGAACAGGTAAAATAGTTCTTTTGTTTTGGAGTAAATTTTTTGGTGCTTCACCCGCTTCCTTTGAAGTAAACTTGCCAAAAGGTGACAAAGAAGGTGAATGTCCTGTGGCCTGTGAGGTTACATCAGACCATCAGCGAGCTAAAGAAGCAAATGGATTTATTGTACATTCAAGAGATCCATATCCTCTACCTCCATCAAAAGATGTTCCCTGGATCCTAACGGGTATGGAAAATCCTGTTTATACTCCTATACTTCCTGACGGCAACTTTATGTCACAGTTTCAATTGTCGAGAAGCTATCGACTTGATTCTGATTTTCCTACACCACTCTTCACAAAGCCAAATTTAGATCCACCGGTTCCTTTTGAGAAAAAAACGGGAGGAATTATTGCTACTCTTTCCAACTGCGAAGCTGTCAGGACAGCGTATATAAGACATCTCATGGAACATGTTCATGTCGATTCCTATGGTGGATGTTTACATAATAAAGATGGTATAGTAGGACGCTGGGCACCAAACTTTAGAGAAGCAAAACAAGATGTGGAAAAATTATACAAGTTTGTTATTGTGTTTTTCAACCAAGATTGTGATTACTATGTTGATGAAAAAATTCTTAATGCACTTAACGCAGGTGCAGTACCTGTGGTGATGAGCACGGATAAAATTAATGATTTTTTACCTGGAAATCTGAAAAATGCCATTATCAATGTCCGAGAATTTAAGTCTCCCAAAGAATTGGCGGAGCGACTTAAGTTTCTAATGAACAACAAAACTGAGTATAATAAGTTCTTGGAATGGAAAGTAAAAGGCTTAGGTCATATTAACGACACTGTGATTGGAAGATTTTGGGAAAGTAAATTTAGACAATGGTGTTATGTGTGCCAGGGAGTATCGGATGGAAGAGGGCACAAAGAAGGTCTTAAACCTGACACAAAGAAGGTCTTAAATATGTACCGAGTTAGTAAGGAATTAAAACGTTTGATATCTGCATTTTTTTCGATTTTGAGTTTAAGAAAATTGGACAAACAATGTTCTAAACTCGTTTATTTCGTTTAGATGCAATAAGTCGACCAACGCATTTTGTACACTCATGCCTATGGGGCGCGAAGTGTTTCTTTATTATTTACGGAATTTTTAATGTTTAATTTCATTATTTATTAAATAACCAAACGTAATAGGTTGGTTATTTCAAATAACCATTTTTATTTCGGCGCCCATTTGGTTATATCAAGTAACCAATTGACAAAATTTGGATATTTAATAAACAACCATTTTTATTTCGGCGCCGATTTGGTTATATCAAATAACCAAATAATTTTGTTACACTTGGCACACTTGAGATGACGTAACGTTCGTGTTCTACTTACCCTCTCTCGCTGTGGAAAGTTATGAAACATGGCTTCCGGTTTAATATTATACACTGATTTAAGCAGAAAGCGCGCAAAACAAGGCATGGCGGATAATACAAATGATATTTCGAGAAGGCTGACAGAAGCGATAGGAAGGGTAATCACGCAAACTTTGGGTACAAGAGAGGTAAATGAGCGAGTTATTTCGCATTTAGTTTATATCAATCCAACAGTAGTCTGTCTTTGTTAATTTGAAACAAATTTAACAGATGAGCATTGAGCACGAGTCAAATGATCCACTGGCCATTCAAACCTGTGGCTTGCTACATAAAATCAAAGATATTTCGTTGATTCAGATTTTAAGTATTTTTCTCAATCAGCAGGCATCAACGGCTGATGACATCCCCAGCCAAAACAGTTCTAATTCTAGTTCTATTACAGTCCAGCCTGTCCAGGTACGTTGACTTTTTACAGCTGACCCCTGGGTTACTAACTTACTATGTGCCTGGTCACTATAGATGCTTTTCAGAGACACTCTTTTGTTAACATTTTTTTTTATTTCTCAAAGTTTTAATTCACATGATTAAAAGGAGCAAAACATAATTGTGCTATACACAATGTGTTCTCTGTAGCAAAGAATTCCAGCTCAAACATATTTGGAGACATCAAATTCAAGTTGTCACCTCAGTGTGGTAAGCTTTTTTTATAATAAATTATCAATGTGAATCAGATATTCATTGATGAACATTGACAATGTTAATAACCACATTACATTTATCACATGTATGCTATCAGGAGTTTATATTATGTTGTCGCCAAATGAGTAATTTGCAGTGCCAAAATATGTGTTTCCAGAGTTGAATTGTTGTCAATGCCAGTAGGCATAAGCAATTTCTTATTTACTTTGTATATTATGGTTTGGGGTTAGAAGTCAAACATGATTAAGCAATCTATTAAAAGTTTAAATTACTTCTTAGACAAGGCAGCTGCCTGCAACTGACTGTGAAGGTACGTAAATCGTATTATGGTATAGTACATTGCACTTTCACTTGCACAATAAGAATGCATATTTCATTTCTTTTTCGTACAGAATTTACGAAAGAACATTCAGCATCATATTCAGTCACCTTGCCTGAGATTTTGATATTTGCGACGGGATCAAATGAGATTCCACCTCTGGGATTTCGACCAAAACCACAAATCTATTTTTGGGATGAAGCTCGCCCAAGAAGTAATACATGCGCGAATATTTTGTACCTTCCACTTCATTTACAAAAAGATGATTTAAGCCATGATTTATTCAAAGAATTCATGGATTTTAGCATCCTGAATTCTCCAACATTTGGATTGGCTTAATAGTAAAACTATATTACCTGTAATGTAAGTATTTTTTCTTTTTGTATGAGTTATGTTTGCACTGTTTTAGTTATTTTAAATTTTGTCAATATTGAACGATATAATTAGATGAGTACTTGCAATAGTATCCAGAAACACATGTAATTTAGAGATTTATTTGAGTTTCTGGCGTCCTTAAAAGCTTCCAGACGTTTGCTCGGCGATGTTACGTGTGACGCCTCCGCTTTCAAAGATCACACACTTTTTACAATCGTCGGAAATATATTTGTACGAATTGTGCATGTGTTAATTGAAACAAGTCATAAGAGTATTGTTCGACGATTATATGGAAGCAGAGCTTAAGGCAAAATGTCGAGGGCGGCACTTGTACGATTAAAGCACAGTCACGTGATATGGATAGACATGCAATCTAGTAAGGGTGTTCAGTTTGAATTTCATGCAAGTTTTGTTTCAATATTAACTTTACAATTTTCGAATTAGTTTTATTCTACTTATGTCCATAACTTTCACAGCCCACACACACGTACGCAATGCGTACATATTTTTAAATAATGTTAGAGCAAAACCTACATCATTTTCTCTGCTACAAAGCTAACTAAATCTCTATAAGCATCCACTGCATTTTGACCATTTAGTGACAAGACAAAGTCACATACAGACTGATCATTTCCCAATGGATTTGGGGTGTCTGGAACCTAAACATGTGGCAAATCACTTGTTGAAAGCTCTTCAATGCCTGGCTGGTTTGAATGCTGGGGTAAGGCTCCTTCGTACGTATGTGCAAGCCCTATATTGCACCAGAATAGTTGCTCTGGTGTTCGGTTATTTTCAGTGGAAATTTTATGTCGGTTGTGTGCTGCAACGAATTCTTCAATGGCATTATTAATGCGAGAAATGTAAACACAATAAAGGCAAAAGATGTCAGTATCATTATTTACATCAAGAGCGCCTTCACTTTCAAGACCGTAAAACTGTTGTCGAAATGTAGACAACACTTGCTCATTGAGAGCACGGTTGTGTCGTTCTATGCGTTGATTGTGGACTGACTTACCCACTAGCACCGGCATGCTGGCTTCCTCTCTAAATGCTGTCATATCATGCCAAATGTCAACGTTCTCTCCACCAAGATCTGTGCGGACTTTGGCATGACGTCCATATTTTGATATAGCCTGAACAAAATGGCTATGTGCAGTTTCCGCCCGATTGTTTGAGCTACATTTTGCAAAAATAACCATGCGGCTAAACCCATCTATTGCATGATGAATCACCATCCTCCACCTTACAAGTTTATGGTTGCCATCAATGTGCCACACATAGTTTGGGAAAGGATTTGTGTAGACTCTTCGCTTAATTGGTTTACGCTTTCTACTTTGCACACCTTCTGGATCCACAGCATGTATTGCCTGCCTAACTTTTTGTCGCTGTACATGCAATCTCCTAGATGCAAGATGACCTTGCACCATAATTTCTCCAGCATTTGGATGGCTGTTTTTAATTATTTGTACTTCTCTCTCAATTTCAGCTTCTGAAAGTTGTGAAAAGCGCTTATAATTTATTCCATATTCCTCCATATATCTATAAATGGTAATTCTTGACACTGAAAGATGTTTGGCAATATCACATATAGGAACTTTCAGTTGAAGAAAGTTCAACAAATGTTCTTTGTTAACTCTCTTCCTAGGTCGGCCAGCCCTTCTGTTAACATCATTTTCACGTCTGAAAGAAAAGAAGCACAACTTGCATTTTATATGTCCTTTCTATACCAAGATAGTTATCAATAAACTGACTATTGAGGATACTAACTCATACGCCGAGATATCCAACATTAAAATGCACAAATTTATGTGCATGAAGAAAAAAGTATATCTCAAAGAAAACATGATTTAGAGGAATACAATGATACCTTTCATGTAAATCTTGTATATTTTCAGTCATTACTATCTAAACAATCAAATGAAACATTGACAATCATAGCATCAACCCTAACCTTGATGCCAAAACAAATTATAACAATATAGCTTGAACTGGAATTCTTTGCTACAGAGAATACATTGTGTATATCACATTTATGTGAATTACAACTTTGAGAAATAAAAAAAAATGTTAACAAAAGAGTGTCTCTAGAAAGCATCTCTAGTGACCAGGCACAATGGTTATTTGAAATAACCAACCTATTACGTTTGGTTATTTAATAAATAATGAAATTAAACATTAAAAATTCCGTAAATAATAAAGAAACACTTCGCGCCCCATACATGCCCAGTATTACGAAGCTACCTACAATGCTTTGTAGGAACAATTCCAAAAGTATTTATCTTAGACTTTGAAACCCGTGATGCTTTATTGTTTGTGATATCGTAACTTTTTAGAAATCTGGAGGCACCATTTGAATTTGGTCGTAACGCTTACCAACTTGTATTTGCTATCTTCTAGTAACAACACTTCCTTCTGTAGTGGTTCAGAGTTCGTTGAAAAAATAAATTTTAGCTCGTCAATTTTCATTCATAGTACTTTCAGAAAAACACTAGTAGTCATGAATTTGTAAAGAATATAATTTTAACAATGCACTTAATTATCTCTAAGATGCTTAGAAATGCAAATTTACGCCAAAATTTGTTGTATTAATTTATCTTGACATTACCATAGATGGGCCACCTATTTTCTTTACCCATAATAGTTGCTGGCTGGTGCATTTTTGGCCATAAAATTTATTTTGATATTGAATTATAGCTTTTGTTATCACATAATCAAAAAAGATAATAAACTAATTGCTTCCTCTTTTCTCAATCGATGCAAATATTTTAGCTATTTTTGTTATCTCCAGAACACAGCGTGTGCTACTTTGTATTCAGTTTACTTAGGACTATAACGGACTATTTTCCATTTCATTTCATCGATTTGCACAACAAAATTTTGTAAATACAACTAACGTTGTGTTTGGTGCGCATAACCTTTCTGTTTTTTATTTTATTATGTTGAAATTTAACAGCTGGAGACATTACGCAAGCATAAGCTTCGCAGAAGTTGGCAAACATCAAATATAAATCGTTTGAGAGAATACTACACTGTGATGAGACTTGATGCACTGTGCTTGTATTTAAACATTTAAACCAGTGTTGATATGTATGTAGCAAATTGTCATTATGTAACCGTGCTTATCTCACCTATCGTTTATATTATATTTCCTAAATTACGTTTGTACTCTATAGACCATATTTTCCTCTCAAAGATATTATTCAACAAGGCATGACATGTGAGTTCGTAATTATTGCAAGTGAATACTATTAACTATTCTTTGATACAATAAATTTCACACGGGTAACAACACGGACTAATTAACCTAATAATACGAGATACGAATATACTGGATTCGTAAATTTAATGTGGAGAAATGAAGACATGTGGAGAAGGTTTTACGGCAATTTACACGATGTACTTTGGGAAACTATGGAACAATTTAATATTTTAATAATATTACTTTTTGTGTTATATCGCTCAGTACATCAGATTGTATTTTTATTTCATAATAAAAATAAATCGCCCGAAAAGTTCCTGCTATTTGCCTACGAGTCCAAGATTTGGGGTGTATCAACCCCCCCCCCCCCTATACCCTTCTCCCAGACGTATTGGCCCTGATTGTGCTGTCTGCATTGGATTTTAAAATCCTGCAACAGGACCTTATTGCACTAACTCCATGTTCACACGTATACATATTTTTAAAAATACGGAGATTTTTCCTCTTCAAGCTTTTGCATCATCGAATTTGTTAATTACTCAACGATTTATCATCAAAAACATATAGAATACAAACGAAATACTAAGCTTTAATAGCTTACGACTACATGTTCTCAAATTCAGTCACATGACCATATCAATGACGCATGCGTAATTGAATTGATAACTAATTAATAAAATAGAGACTTTGTCGTGGTGACAAATCTGAAAATCGTTCTAAAGATCGCAAATACGATTGTGAATCGTAAAAGTAATAATTTAATAGTGAAATTAAACGACACAATGCATTTTGGGAGACCACTTCTTAGATGTCAACGTCTGCTAAATGAAAATATAAAATCTACCGATATTTGTAAAACCAAGAAAGAATGTACGTCATCTCCAAATTGGGAGATGACGCTCAAAACAAGATAAATTAAAAACATAATCCTTTTGTCGGCAGAGGACGGGATTAGTTAACTTAATCAAAACAGCCTCCATGACGCGTACTTAAAAGAATGAACAGCATTTCTTAATAATTCTAAAATTGTCGTAGGAAGTAGAATCAGCACAATGGGAGTTATTCAAGAGACGTTTACCTATCGCGGAGTCACATTAAACTAAATTATTTTTCTTACAATCACGTTTTGGTTGTTGTCTTGATGGAATCGTTCTATTTCTGATTGAAGTTGGTACATGATGTTTGATCCTATCACCTAACCTTTGAGACGTTCTACTTACACAGCGAACATCGCACACATATTTATATTCATAAATTACATTGTTTAAAAGTTCTGCCGGTAAAGATTCTTTTGAGCTGGGTGGTAGAATACTTCTTCTCGAAAATATAAAAATAACATTGCTTGCAAAAGAAAATTCTCTGTAATATTCTTAGTTTTCCTCTCAATATCATCAGAAACCTTACCCATCCATGGAAGTTTAATAGACACAGGGCACTTAGCTGGTCCAAAAGGCCTATGCTGCTCATTTTTTTTGTAGATGAGAAAAGTTTATAAAGCATTTTTTCAGGATATCCATTTGAGAGAAATATATTTTTCAATGAGTTGAGATCACCCTCAATGAACTCCTCTTATGACAGTCTAAGCGTTCGCTTTATTAAAGATTTTAATAAAAAAATCTTTTCTCTGTGTGAAGAAGAAGATCAAAGCATGTGTACAAACCTGTAAAAGTTGCCTTGCAATGAATTCTAAGAAGGAATTGGCCATTGCGTGTATGGAAAAGAACATCTAAAATTGCTAACTCACAATTTGATTCATGTTTAGACGTATAATTTAAAGAAGGGTGAAGAGAACAGAGTTTATGTAAAAATAATTGGTGATTTTTCTCGTATCGAAAAAGGGAAAAGGTGTCGTACCACAGCACTTCTGGAGGTTCAGAAGAGGCAAACATCTTACACTCATAATAGTCGATGAAAATAGTAGCAACTACCTCTTCAAGAGGAGAACCCATAGCCACCCCATAAATTTGTTTGTACGTAATATTTTAAAACTTACTCTAGGGGCCGCTAACATTAATTCTCTAAACGCTTTCTCGGACATGTGTGGTACTGCCGTATCCAAGTGAAAAGGATTATCAACACAGATTTAGATGGTTTCTTCTAAGGGCACATTTATAAAAAGAGTGGTTACATCAAAAGAGCACATTGTCAGATTAGGATGAGCAGAAAGATCAAGTTGTTTGAGTTGATTAGTAAAAGTAAATGAGTCTTTTAAAGCGTGTATTGAGAACTTCTCTAAAGCAGGTGAAAGTACAACTGACAGTTGTTTAGCTAACTCATGATGAGCTGAGTTGATCATGGCAAGAATTGGTCGGAGTGGAGCGCCCTCTTTGTGGATTTTGAAAAATCCATACATACGTTGTCTCTCTGCACCGGTTGGGCGAACTAAATTATAAAAATTCTCACTGATTTTATTTGACTTTCTTCACTCTAAGAGAAGTGTTTGTAATCTCCTATCTAGTGAAGAGGTTTTATCGCAATCTGGCAAGTTTCCAAGCGTGCAAATTTTTTCTCGTCGTTTAAAATGTCTAGCATTTTGCCATCATAGTCTTCCCTATCTAAAATCACTGCACCAGAGCCTTTGTCTGGTTTGCAAAGTACAATGTCCATATTCCTCTTAAATTAGAAGGTGCAATAATATTTGCTTTCGTTAGAGAAAATTCTTTAGAATCAACCTTACACTCTGAAAAAGTGTGCGCAAGGCTTGACATCGAAACATTGAATTTTTATTCGAACCCTATGATAAAAAATTCCAACGCTCTCACTAAGCATTTGAAAAACATGAAATTTAAAACGAAGAGGCACGGATATAATATCAACTCTACAATTCCAATACAAAGAAATACTTAGCAAATTCGAAAAACAGCACGCACAAAATATTCCAAAAAAGTGCACTCGGTGTTCACGTGTTACATTTAGCTAATTTCAATATTTCAAGAAGTGCTCTAGTATATACAGGGGGTGCGTTCCTGAGTGAGATTTCTCAACGCGGAACGTCCAAGTACTTTGTTATGTTCGGAAGAGCAAATTCAAACAATGGTCGATTTGCACATTCTTTAGTTGACTTTTTAATGTGGATCAGGGGAAGCAGATTAAACAATTATTAAACGCCATCCATATTTAGATGGTCTGATCCAATTACACGGGAACTAAGAGAGAGTTAGGAAAAGTGTGCGAAACGCGAGACGAAGGCTAGTATTTTGCACCGCTTTTCCTAACTCTGGCAACATTCCTAAGTGTTTGCATCATGCCATCAAAACAATTAAAAGCGTCGAGTAATTGTTTCTGAAAATAGCAACTAGAAGGTGGTGTTGTAACTGTTTTTATATAACCGGAAATATGACCGGTAATTCTCACAAGCGACTAACAAAGCTGTAAATGTATAGTGAACGATGAAGGCAAACCAAAAAAGCGTAAAATTACTGCCACGTGTACCCCAAGTCACTTCAAGCAACGGCTGATTCGGTTGAAATATATCATGTATACAAAGTTAGAAGTACGGTTTCTTGGATTTGTATGTTATTTAAACTGCAACAAAGTGCAATACATTACGAAGAGAATGAATCTACAAACGAATCATTAACCCTCGCAAATATTGTGCAATTCTATTAGCATCTACCGCAGAGATCCCACGAGATACTACGCATGCGCAAATTGGTCATTCTCTACCTTGCTCACCGCCATTACAGATGGCGTGTTTGGTCATATACGAATAAT